GCACCTGTGGTGTTGGGCAAGGCCGTGGGATCTGTGGTTTCCCCTCACCGGGGTGTTGTGGCCCCTGGAGGTGTGAGCTGGGGCGCGGGGGCTGCTGCCCTTTCTCTTGGCCTAGCAGCTTCTGTGGGCACCGTCCCGAACGACCGTGCCCCGGTTGGCAGGCAGGTGCCGGCAGGCTTTGCTGCAGTGCTGTCTCTGCGATGAGAGCGGGCTCTTGGCCGTGGTTTGGGGTGACTGGGCTCTCTTCTCCTCACAGGCTGCAGGAGGATGCACAGAGCCTGTTTGCGTAAGACCAGGATGGAACAGTCTAATGGGGGCCTCCCTGTGCAGAGAGAGGCCGTCCTGTCCGAGCTGTGCTGGGATAATGCCTCTGTAACAAACCTGTGAGTGTGCCTGTCTGCTGTAAGGGTCAGGGTGTTTGGCTGCTAATGCTGTTAAGGCTAAAACATCTCCTTAGGAGAAAAATTTTTCCTTTCTGTGTAACTGCCCTCAGACAAGATGTACCCTGATTCGCAGCCTGGGATGAACGCTTACACTGCCATCTGAACACAGCTGTTCTAGTCATCAGTTATGTGTCTCTTTTGGGTTGTAGTCATTACTTTCATGTGTGTCCTGGTTTCAGCTGAGACAGAGTTAACTTTCTTCATAGTAGCTAGGGAGAGGCTGTGTTTTGGATTGCTGCTGTGACAAAACTAAGCAGAAGGATATATGATTTTCAGATTATTAGTTCCCATTTAGAGGTTACATTGAGGGCAGTGTTTTCAAAAGCAATCATTAATCTCTTTTGTCAAAGACAACCAGACTTTACATGGAACACAGCACTCAGTCTGTTGAATTCTTTTGAAGTTTTTCTATGTTTTAATGCCTCATGAAAATCAGGCCCTAACTGTGAAAATGACCTTTCTTTGAAAACACAACTCTGTGGTATCCATGGTCTCTTTTTTGCAGCATTTAGTACTTGCAATGCGTAATTACAATTTTTTTATTTTCTTAGCTGCATTTAATACTGTTCATGTAGTAATGGTTTACTGCACATGCAAATTACAGTTTGATTTTTTAAAACCCTCTCTTCTGTTCTACACAATAAGGTTGGTAGTGTGAATGTGGAGACTGAGGAAATAAAGTGGTGCCTGCCTTATCAGGCTGTGTGTTGGTTTTTTTGCCAGAAATCCAGGAATATCAGCATGAGTCTGTGTCAGATTTAGAACTCAGTTCTGCAGCTTTGGATGATTCAGAGGGAAGGAATTATTTTTAAAACTCATTTTAAAACTACATTTCCAGTATTTTGATGGAAATGTTTGTTTTCTAGGGTGGAAGTGCTGAGATCTTTGGTGGCTTTAACTGACCCTCAGGAGGGGAAGCTGACTCAGTCTCAAGAGAAAGTGAGTGACTAACAGACTTTCCATGTCTGTTTTCTGCATCATTCCAGAAGAACCTATAATTAGGTAGTTGAGCTTATTCTAATAATATATTAGAACTGTTTCTGTAGTTCAGGTTTTGGTGAGCTGAACTGAAGCGTGTGTTTGCCAAGTCTGTTTCTGATTGCCCAGCTAGTGGTAGTATGATCACCAAGCGCCTCAGTTCTGCCAAGTTCCCTTCGAGCAGGGGCAGAGTGAATCAGGTATTGCAGCCGCTACTGGCAGTCAGGCTTCAGATCACACTGTCTTTTACTGACTGAGGGACCAGCTCTTGCAGACCCTTGGTTGCACCCTCCCCTTGTTTTCATGCACAAGTATGGCGTGTACAATTAGTTTTCTTAATCCAGTGGGACTGATTTCTTGAGCTGGCTCGTTTTATGATTCCAGGAATCTAGTAATGACATGAGAGCTTAAAGCCAAGGAAGGAGTGGAGTTTGTACTTTATGTTACTTTAAAGCAATCCTGAAACTGTAGCCCTGATATTTTTGTGGCTTTTCTGCCACTGACCTTGATCAGTGATGGTGTCCTTTATAGTAGAACCTGATGGTTATTGGGACAGGAGGTAAAGTAGCTAATGCAGTAAAGGATCATAATGGTCAAAAGAAAGCATGAGACTTTAGGATGTGTTTTTGTGGATTTATACAATATGATAAATGTAGGATGTAATTTGGAGAGGACATTGCTGTCTCTTGGAAGATGTGTAAGACAGTTAATGGGATATTCAGATTTGCTCAAAAAAATTATGCTCAACTTTTAGTAATTGAATCTGCTGTAACCTTTAATGAAATTTGCTGTGCAATGTTATTTTTAATTACTTCATATCTTGTATTGAGTCTTGTGTAAGTATTAATTTTTATGTGCATTCATTCTTTAAGTAATGTTTTTATTTCAAGGAAAGTTGCTTAGGCATCCCTGAAGTACAGCTGCCTGTGATATTGCAGTAATAATTATTTTGCATGGCATGGAATTATAGTCTCCTATTTGATTCTCATTTCTCAGTTGAATTTTTATGCTCCTTTGTATTCTAGGCACTAAACTCACTGGGCGTTTGGAAAACCGTATTCGCAGCTGTCCCTGGGCCTATGTCAAAGACCTCGGTGGAGTAATAGCTCAAAGATGGGAGACCAGGATGGAGGTGAACCCTTTCTGGGGACAGTGGCTGGTGGTGCCACAGACTATGACGGGGCTCTGCCCTCAGACACAGTGTCGCTCAGCGATTCTGATTCTGATGACATGGGGTTAGCGGATGAAGCGGAAGTTGATACAATATCTCCTGAGGAGCCATCTGTAGATGATGGGGATTACAGATCGGGGGGAACCCCTGAATCTTCAAACATCAGTCACAGATCTCCTGTCCAGCCGTTCCATCTGAGGGGCATGAGTTCTACGTTCTCTCTTCGTAGCCAGAGCATTTTTGATTGCCTGGAAGAGGCAGCCAAGTTGTCTGTGCCCTCAATGCCTGAGGATAATGTTGTTGATGGGAGATTTAAACGTCCATTGCCTCCAGCCACAGTTTCAAGTAACACAGTTCCAGAAAGCCTGAGAAAGCAAGCCAAACCACTGCAGGCTCCCAAAACCTCTCCTGCAGTGCCTGACTATGTGGCACACCCAGAGCGCTGGACCAAATACAGCCTAGATGGAGTTTCAGAGTCTACTGACAAGACTAACAGGGCGGTGGCCATGGAATTTCTAGAGGGTTTGAAGAAAAGAGGGGAGGAAAAAAGCTCAGCTAGTCAAGATAGCTATACCCCATACTTCAACCAGGACCCTTCCAGCTGTGGAGCTGGGAGGATTGTCTTCACCAAACCAATAAAAAGGGGTGTTGATGGACTGGAAAAGAAAACATCAGCAGGGGAGGATGATAAGAAACATATGAAAACAGATCTGAAAGGAAAACCTCTTAAGAAGACTGATGATTTGAGGGAGGAGGATAAGGTAGAGCTGGGGCACTTAGATAGTGGAAGTGGAAAGGCAACAGAGGAGGAGGAGTGCGTGGTGGTGGGGGACCTGAATACAGAAGGTAGGCTGAGTGCAGGGTTTAGTGGTGCAGGTGAAGAGCCCTTGGTGGAAACAGTTGGATTCCATTGCAGTAAGAAGAAGAACAGGAAAAATTTCCGACCTAAAGTAGATGATGAAGGGGAGGAGGAAGAGTCCTGAAGGATGGAGCACATTGGAGACGTCCAAGGCGTTGTATTGTCTTTGGATATGTTTGTTTTTTTCTCTGACATTTTTTCTGGTCTGGAAACAATGTGATAGGTTTTTGTCTAACGGTTTGCATTGTAGCCGCCAAGAACATTTTATATTGTTAGAAATTAAGCTATCTAAAGTACTCCAGACTTTTTGTTCGTGAGAAGTCTGTGGGCACAGGATAGTTGCACCCCAGCAGGAGAGAATAAACGGTGCTTTGTTTGCTTGAGCAGCTCCCTGGAGCTTGCTCTTGAGCTGATGTAGCCCTGTACACCAAAGAAGAAGATGTGTTAGATAAAAGGCTGCAAGGCTTCCTACTAACCCCCAAATTTAGAGCTGCTCCCAAATCCTCTAGAATCCTGGAACAAAGATGATTAATTCATTATGTAGAGATTTTTAAACAATGAAAATAAAACATAGTCTTCCACTAGACATGATTTCTCCCAGCCCTGTCCCAGGGAGGAAAACCTCTTTTTTTTTTTTTTAACCTTTTATTTTTTAATATACATCCTTCTCTCATTGCCATGGAGAGTGAAAGCACAATGGTGCACAATCATGAGTTTGGAGGGCCCAGGTGGGAACTGGCAGAACCAATATTTTTCTTTTTAAGGTTGGCTTTATATTTACCTTATTCAGTGTTACAGGATAAAGATTTTTAAAAAAATATGATTCCTGCGGAGTGGTACAACTCTGGATACACCCTGGGTGGAGACATGCTCAGGATGGCTTCAGCAAAGTCTCATCATGTTGAGGGTAGATCAGAATTTGTAACAGCTTCAGTTGTTAAGTTGGGCAGCAGCTTTTCCTCTTACTGTTATATATCCTCATACTGGTTATGATGCGATGGTTCTTGGCCTGCACATTTGTATGTCCTTTCCAGGTGGCCCTGCTTCCACATTGACTCTGTGTGTGGATTTGGTGGGAATGAGGTATTTACACCAGAACTGGATACTTTTTTGTTTTTTTGGTATTCAATAAACTGTCAGTTGCAGCTTGATTTCTTCATCATTTTGAACCCTGCTGATTAATGCAGCTATACGAGTTTTAACAAATACTCAGTTTATTTCATTTGAGAATTGTCTCAAAAATCTTCTAGAATGTTACTCTAAGCTTGCCCTCTTGTAACTTCTCCCTCAAGTCTCCTAAAATTCACAGTTTTAATATTTTCAATCATTTAAAAATATATAGAGAATCACCTCATACAATGAATCACATTGCAATGAATGTCAGATAATTTTTTCACACAGAATGTTAACAAATTTTATAAATAAGATCGAAATATTAAATTATTTGAAAGATTTGAAACTCAAATTAGTTCAGGTCAGTTTGGACTGACATTCTTTTGCCAGTATTCTACATTAACCAACTTCAATGTTGGTATTTATAGCCATGTAGTGAAAGACTACTGCTTCAGAATTTGTGATCTTTCTTGCTATACTTTGCTTGCTCAAACTCTGAAGGATATTTGAGGAGGTTACTTCCTCTGTGGGGGTGTCAGCATCTTATCAATAATTGACTGGTAGGCCCAAATCATGGGGGTTTTTGTCTTTGAACAGATGCATCATTTGGCAGCAGAAACAGAAAACAGTTTAAAATCAGTAATGTTGCTCCATCTTTTGAAATTCTCCTTTTAATTTTAAAAGCAGAATGTATTTTCTCATCAGTATACACGTCGATGCACATTAAGTAATGGGTCATTGCTAAATGCGTCAGTTCCAGTGCACGTGAGTGGGACAAAACAACAATTCCAAATGGATAGATTTGGTTTCCAGTGGATAATGAATGTGCTGATCACAATTAAAACAGCAGCCATTTCAGAATGGAAGCTGCTGCCAAGAGCAGGGCATGCTGGTTGCAAGATATGCATTATTTCCTAACAAAAAATGTACCTCAGTACAAACTTACTGGTTTTATAACTTCTGCTTGCCTGGGGTGAAGAACAGTTAGGACAGTACTGAAATTTCATCACTGTTGATGGGGTCACTGAGGTCTGAGGCACAGCGGAATAAACAGGACAAATGCCTGTTTTCTTATGAAGACATCATAACAAGATTAATATATATTAATAAAAGACTCGTCGGAAAGGTATTTGTATCAGATCTATTTTTTTCTGTCTCTGGTAAAAGAGAAAGCTTTTGCACAACCTATGTTTATGTTGCATAGAAGCAGTGTTATATGCAGGAGGAAATTAGGTTCACTTGAAGCTTATCAGTGTAAGAATGACCACAACCTAATACTTCTCCCTTCTGGTGCTGTTTATAGGATTCCAAGAAATTTCCCTTTAAAGGACGGTAGTAATATTCATTTTATTGGTGTATCTTTTCATACAAAGTTCTCATAAAGCCAGCTACATTTTGAATGCTAAAAACGTACATGCGAGTTTAAGTGATGAAAGAAATGACAAACAGTCCAAATTCCTAGTTTGTACAAAAATTCTTGCTATACATTCTTGCTTTCAAATCACTAAGTAATTTTTTTTTTTCCCCCTGACCTTTGACAGAGAAAACTAAAATTAAGTCAGAAAACCTCTTAGGTGTAGATGCAGTGTTCATGCAGTGTGATACGTAAAGGCAAATCTCTAATAGCAGCAGGCTGACAGCAGTTATGATCTGGCATTAAAACAAAAAAGCAAGCAGCAGAGGCTGGGGTTCTGACTGCGGGAGGGTCACTTGCTTTGCGTTTGGAAAGTGACTGCATGCCACCACACACTTGAGGACCATGCAATGAGATTCCCATTTCTGGGGATGAGCGAGGAGCCCTCAAAAACCGACAAAGGAAGACCTCACAGAAGCCAGCGTGGGAAGACGGTGAGTGCAGTTGTTTGAGGGTTGCAAGGACTTCAGGAACTGTGTGAATTGTAATAGCTCAGTATTCCAGGCCTTTTCCTGTGGAAACTATTTCTTGATTTCCTTTCTAAGCAACTCAGAAATACGAACTTGCTTTCTTGGCCAAGAAACTGGCTTGGTTTTTAGGCGTAAATGATCACCCTTCAACAGAGAAGTGTGGAAATTAGCAATGATGGTGTTTGATTCAGGGTATGGGATTTGGAGAACAGAAGGCAGGTCATATTTAGAAAATAAGGTGGTAGAGTCATCCCGGAGGAGACAGTTTTTTGTGCTATTTGTGGAATGCAATTTTGGAGAAAGGACCAAGGGATATAGGAGCAGGAGGGAAGAAAGCCCAAGAAATTGCAAGAGGAAGACCAAGAAATCCTCAGTAGTGTCAAACATTGGCAGTGCTTGGATAAAGGCTGAGAGCTGGGCCTTAGGTGTTCCTGAGATTAGGATGTTACTTCTACAGTAGTTCAGTAGGACAAAAGGTTTAATCTGAAGAAATAAGAAAATTTAATTATTACTGTATGTGATGTTAGTCTTGGACTGATCTGCACGCTCTTCTCTTCCACTTCTTTCTGGCAAAGGCAATTCTGCGTTGGCGTTCATCACACCTAATAGGATTGTAAAAGCCACGTGCTTGTTTAAAAGCCTTATGACAAGGGGCACATAATAGTAATAGCTTAAGAAACTTTAAAATGTTGAAAATAATCCAAAATAAAAAGATACTGTAGATTCTGTTACTTTGTATGTGTTCAGTAAATTATAAAACAGGTTTCTTTTTATTTTTCAGCTATTTAAGTTTCTGATTTTTATGCAGCTACAGTATTAAAACATCTGGGGAACATGCTACAGGATGGGTTTTCCTAGTGGAATGTTGCTAATGAAGCAATTTGCGTATGTGATTTATAAGCTTCTAACGGAATTAAGTCAAGTGTGAGGTTAGTTCAAGGCTGAGTAACTTGAGGTCTTACCACATCACAACTTTGCTGTGTTTACAGCTCCTTCTTTTTCCCATGTAGTATATATATGGTCAGTTTATGGGTTTCGGAGGGCTTTTTGTGTAATAGATAGTAATAGGTAGATATCAAAATAGATAATTAAGAAGAATATCCAAAGTCTTTATGGTGTTCAACATCCTGTGGTGGCTGAGAAATAGTCTGTTTCTGTCTCTGTTTTAAACAGTGGAGCACTGGGACACAGGACACGATTTTTAACTGACAGAAACAGTTGCAGCTCAGCAGGCAAATGAGCTGTGTTGATTAAAACAAAGTAGGAGGCTTGCTCAATTTTTATTTTTAATGATTATAGTTATGCATATTAAATGTTTTGGTAATACTTTGGTAGTACTATCTCATTGGCTCAGAAACCTCCAAGACAATGCTCTCAAGAAACCCTGTGGCAAATAGATATTTACATGCTTAATGCTGGATGAGATCACACTAAGCAACGGTCCTTTCCCCAAAGCTTTTAAATATATTTTGGAAAAAGTACTTTTTAAATTCTGAAGTATGAGAATTCTGTTCCTTGTTTACATTACTTCTAGGTACCTCCTTATGTGGTTCCTTTCCAATTTTTTTTTTCCTTGTATTTTTTAAACTAAATTGTTTAGCTGTATTAATTAGCTTTTCCATGATTGTTTTCAATACTTACGGGTATAGTTTGGAGCTGGTTGGTTGCACAAGAGGTTGGTTTTAGTTAAAACCTCTGCCATTGAGGAGATAACAGCTGTACAGTAGCAAATCTACAAAATAGGTAGTGATTTCTACATCAGTTAATTTTTGTAATACTTTATTGTTCAATTTGCAAGAAAGATAGCCTAGGCAGCAGACTGAAGCAGCATCGGAGATACCACGTATATTTATTGTTTTTTCTTTTTTTTTTAGAAATAGTTGAACTGTCTTGGAGAAAGGTTTGTATTAAATACCGTCCTTTTTTGTGAGTATATTGCATTATCTCAAGCTGGCACAACCTTATTAAAGCATTTCTTGTGTGTTCCTGTTGGACCTGTATTTGATGTCAACATTGTTCATTGAATAGCATGACTTTTTTCAGGAAGCCATAAAATGGATAAGAAAGGAGAGGGAAACTGCAATGGGAGTATTAAGATAAGGAGCTTTCAGCGAGGCCAAAATTACACTGAGGAGTTCTAGGGACAAAGAAAACAATAACAGTTGTGCTATGTAGCACGTGGTAATGCTGAGCATTTTCAGACTGTTTAAAAAATGTTTGTTTATATTTCAAGGGTTTGTAATCAAAAACTCAGGATAGGGTTTCCTTCTATTATTTGTGTTTCACATTTGTATGTTAGATACTTCCCTTTGCGATGTTGGTATCTGATAATTAAGAAAATTAGAAAAAATTATGTCAAGAAGATTAGTCTAGGTCAGATCAGACAGAATACAGGTATTTTCAAAGTTGACAGTTTTAAAGAAAAAGGTTGGGAGAAGGAAGAGAATGGAGGGGGGTAGATAAAGCTTTTGCTTCCAGAAGCATCCTTAATGAAGGAAATAAACACTTCTCAAGTAAACTAGGAAAGAGAGCAAGAAATGCTGTATTCCACTTTGTCCTTTCTACTGGAGGTCAGAAATGTTTCTTTACGTATGTGTATCACCAGAGAGAAAACAATAAGGAAAGTGAAACCATAGTACAACCATTTCTCCTTCCCTTTATCCCTAAACAGGGTCTGCCAAACCACCATTAAATGAGAGAAACATGGTGAAATCCTAAAGCTGATATAAATGCCTGTAAAACTATTACTTACCTGGGCTTCCATAACTTCAAACCTCTTTTCTTGTTCTTTCAAACCACTAAAATATTTAGACAAATTATCCACCCTGTGAAAACAAAGCAGACACGCTGAGCAAAAAGAAAAGGCTTCAGAAGAAATCCTAAACCACAAAAACTTCCTAGAGCTATGGGCCTTTCACTGGCAATTCTGCGCTGCTGAGACATTCACCTAGAAGTTTTGTCCTTTTGGGGTGTTCCTGCAAATATTCACTGAAGAGAGCAGCATTTCTGGGACACTCTCATGCACCTGTTGCCCAGGGACTCATTATAAACTCACACAGATTACAGCAGCTGTTCAGCTTCTGCCAAGGACCCCGTAGCCCCAGCTGCTGTGGAGATCGAGGACAGCAGAAAGGATCCATAGGTCCAGCTCTGTCTCTCCAGCCACTTATGTCCCAGCTGTACCAGGTGGGAACTGATCCTGGTGCGAGAACTGAGGCCAGTTCCAGTCTGAACAGAACCTTTTCCTATCTCTTCCTGGCTCTGCTACATGGGAGGTTTGTTTTGAAAGCACAGAAAGAAAACAGCACAGGAACATCTCCCTGGTGCTTTCTTATTATGATAACTTTCACACCCAATGCGGCTTTATTTGAAGGCAATTTTATCACCAACAGCTGAAGTAGGTGTTAAAAGCTTCTCTAAAGAAGGCTTTGCTGTCTGGCTTTCAGTATTGCCTTAGATGTTTCTGTTTTCCCTGCATGTAACTACTTTGTTTCACTTAAAGACACAAAGTAAACATTTACTAATTCAGAGTAAACCTCTGAATAATAATAATTTAGCACTTTCTTTCTTTTGAATACTAAACCAATTTAAGTGATATTCCTAGCAGGGAGATATTTTAGAGAAGTGTTTAAATGGAGACTCAATTAATGAAATGCAATTTTAGAGCCACTATCATTAATTTTAGTGGAAACTGTAGTCCCATGCCACACAGCTGTAAACAGTTGTTCCTCTGCATCTGTGGGCGGGGGTAATTCAAGGTATCTTGAACTTCAGTTCAAAAGCTGATGTTGAATTCCTGCAGGGGATAGAAGTACATGCACTGCAGTATAGCAAAAGAACTATTCTTCCGCCATTTCTTCATGAGTATGATTTTCCTTGAGCTTGACTGCAGATTTGGCTGGAGCTCACAGGCCTGTAATTGTGCATACTTCAAGAGTGCCAAAAACTCTTCTAATATGGTAGTGATGCTGTCTTCTCACATTTTTCATAGGCTGTGTATTTCCCAACTGCATTCTAGTTGGACTCTTCATGTAAGCTTTCCAAGCACCTGGATGTGTATCTCATTCAAAGCTGAAGACTTGCAAGGTACACTTATTGGGAGTCAGAATAACTTACTTATTAGATGTGGCCTTCAGCCTTTCTTCATTGCTTTCTTTCCTTTCTTGTTCAAGGTTTACAAGGTAGTTTTCTTTTTGCACCAGCTCCCATGTTATGATTTTTTGATCTAGGCCAACTGGAAGATCTCGTTCTGTAGGCAGAAAAAGAAATTAAGAATTATATTTTGTTCCCTTTTCTCTTATATGAGTAATGGAAGACTGCTATGCTGAAGAAAAGTCAAGTCCTGCCATTGCAGGAGTGTCATGTGATGAAAATGCAGTGTGAAGTAAGTATTTTCTTTTTTTTTTTCTTGTGATGGAAGGCAATAGACCTTTTTGCAGTAGAATATGACTCCTGAGTTCTAAAGAACAGCCTGGACCAATTTCTGTGGTTCCATTTAAGCTCATTTACAACCTTACTAGACTTCTGACATATTTTAGTGCCAAAGTATTTAATGAGCAGAGCTTTATGTTCAGATGCATTTTATCATCTGAGCTTCTTTATTAGAACAACTACAAATAGGAAGGAAAAACTGTGAATAAATCCCACCAACTTGAAGAATAAAGCCTGATGTTGTTGTTGTTAAGTGTTCCAAACAACAACAGACCAAAAGATGTCAATTTCACAGACGTATTTTTGAATGTAACATACTGGTTTTGTATCTTCCTAAAGATTGCTAAAAGGGCACACTTGCTGTATGCTCCAAACGCTACTGAATGTATAACCTGACCAGTCAGTTACGTCTTCTTAGGGAAAAAAATATTTATATATTTTTTAAAGAATCTTCAGTAGTACGCTTTGATAGCCAGAAGGAGTGTGTCTGAAAGGGAGCTATGTCTCTGCATTGGGAAATGCCACTGATCCTAGTAGATTTTTAGACTTCGTGTATGTTTTTGGGATTGTCTGTACTTAATAATTACTAAAATTCAGGAGCAAATGAAATAACTATTCATTATGCATTAAACCTGTCCATTGTTATTTCTTCAGAAATCGAACCCCTTTAACCAGTTTCATATTGACACCTTTGTTGTAATAAATACGGTGCATAAAAAATGCATTGTGGGAAACTGTTTATAGTACAGGATACATTATAAGCCTTAATTTTTCATTTGTACTCTCCTGGCACTTCTTGTTAGAAATTAATTGCGACTCTTGGCTTAAGAAAATCTTAATTGTTCTTCTGTTTTGCCTGTGCAGGATGTCCTGGGAGAGTGTCAGGGTCTCTAGTTGCTAGATGTTTGTTAACAGCTCACCCAGATGTTCTTTTTTACGTTCCATTTTGTTGAAGATTCTTCTGAGAACCAGAGTTATGTGGTTAATAATGATAAATGGTGGTGCTAAGGCAGGCCGGCCGTGATATTCTACAATCAGGTTGTAGCGCTGAATTTTCCAGAAAATGTCTGCATTGCCCTGAACAACTTGAAAAGTGTAACTGTAATTGGGGAAAAAAAAATACAGAAGTGGTTTTACCTTAACAAGCTAAAGCTTATTATTACAAAATATAGTCCCACATTTACTTTAAAAAAGGACAAAAAAGTTCAGCATGTAGCGTTAATGTAATCTAAAATTTGTGCAAATTCTTCGATACTAAAATAATTGCAGTTGCAGTCTTCAAATGTTAAAAAATACATTAGGTTTGGTTTTTTTTCTTTAAGAATCATAGAATGCATAGGGTTGGAAAGGACCTTAAAGATCATCTAGTTCCAACCCCCCTGCTATGGGCAGGGATACCTAATTCCACTTCACTCAGGCAAGATCAGCAAACATGCCATGTCAGTTCTTCAACCAAATGAATCATTATTAGCTGTGTTGACATCAAGCATTTCCCCCACGTGCTGATTATCCCCTGTTAAGTCTGCCAAGTTTACAGCTGCTTTGCACCTGCAGAGTTGTGCCGCAGCACAGCCAGGGATCCAGACCCTTCTCTGCATGTTTAATTCCATTTTTAGCAGTAAAAGAGGTTTCTTTTTGTCTTGTCTTTAATGTTGCTAGAGTAAAGATGATGAGAACTTAAGAACTCTATGATCAGAGAAGCCTACCTATCAAAAAATATTCAGTAGGAAAATTCCTAGTGTATGCCAAACTGAATAGGCAACAGCCATGTAGGAAATGTGGGCATTTAGTTAAACCTTTGCAGCCTCTGTCTTGGTACTTACTGAAATTGCTTTTACCTGAACATAGCAATCAGGAGGTTCATAAGGAGAACGTTGGTGACTAGTAGGAAGATGACCAACAGAAGTATGACAAGCCAGTTGGCATAGCTGTTAGGACATGATGGCGAGTTCTCCTGCAGAATCTGCAGTGGATTCAATGTACAGTTCCTGGGATACATTCGTGATGCTGCAAAGGAAGATAGAGAAATAAAAGAATAGTTTTGACAAATCCTACTGCCACATGCATTTCTTAGAGCAGCAAAAGCTTTGCATTTTGGTGAGCAAAATCTCTGACTTTCAACAAAGAATGGCAAGAATTACAAACTGTTCCTGAGATTTGGAGTGCTGCATTTCATAGCTATTTCAATGCAAATAAAAACTGAATATCTCTAAACATGTCTTTTTTAACAACTAGTCACATGGATGGATGTGTATATTTAGTACCTTTACTGCTAAGATACAAATCAAGGACAATGATGACATGGATTACTAAAATGAGATTTAATCTTGGCTGCAAATAAACAGCAGCATAATTTTGTTCTGAATGTTTTACAATCATTAAAAGCTTAAACCCACTATTGTGGTTGTATTTTTGTATTGTCCTTGTTGACTACTAGCAGGACTATACAAACAAGACTCCCTTAACCCTAAAAGGACAGTTCTTTGACTGCTTGAGCTACTGAGCCAATTCTTGCAGCCGATAGATCATTTAAGTGAACTAATATCCAATGTCTTTAATTCTGTGAAAATGTAATCATGTCGTGTACATTGCTTTAATGTGCAGGAGGTTTGCAACCCTAGGACAATGCAGACCTCCAGAACGTGGCTGCTCACTCAGTGGCAAGTTGCCTGTCACAACTGGCTTTTTAGCAGCGTTCAGCAAAGGGGGATTCTATTGAAAAGGCTGAACCCTTTCTAGACTAGTTTTGAGTTCCTGAAGACAAACTACCTTTCAGTATTTAGCAGTTGTATTCCTCCACATACTTGTGTCTTCACAGTCCTCATGCTGGTGCGTGTGTTAGAGGAGAGAACTCAGTCAAAGCTGGGAATGGGGTTCCTCATTCTAAGTTCAGACTACTTGGTACATCTGAGCTTGCAGTCGAGATTAGTAAGAATGGTTCTGCTGCATCAGACTAGAGGTCTAGCCCTGTATCCTGTCTCAGCTATGAATTAAATCCACAAATTTAGAGTAGCAGAACGATATTTACTTTTTTGTTCTCCATTTTTTCACTAATAATTCCTTTCCCCACTGCCACAGATAACCCCGTGACCCCTTAGAGCACAGAGTTTTATCAAAGCTCACCGCAGCTGGGACTGCTTTCCTTGAGTGCATTACCTTATCTTTATCTACACGGCATTTCATTTGATGATTTAGCACTCGTGAGGGTCCTCTGCAACTCTTAGGTGTCAGCTTTAGTCTTTACTACCCAGTAATGTAGTTTTGTCAGCAAATTTTGTCCCCCTCATTACCCATCTCCTTTTCTGCATGTTTCATAAAGATGTTAAACCAAATGAGCCCCCGAGGGCCCCAGGACAAATGACTCCCTTCTGCAAGTTGCCCGTGTAATTGATTCTGTTTTTCTCTGTCATTTAACCAGTTATTTATCCAGGGGAAGACACCCTTTGGAATCTCAGTGGAGAGAAACACACATTTCTAGGGAATGCTACATCTGACCTATTTCCAAATGAGGTGAATCCTATTCCAGAAATAGTTGTTTCTCTCCAATTACTTTATTGAAGCCATGCTTGCTTACACAGTAGGCATTTAAAGTTAAGTGTTGTCTTGTCTTGTTCAGACGTTTTTGGCTTGTCTAAGACATATACTTTTTCTTACTAGGCAGAGTGAACATGTAAGGATGCATACTGGTTTGCTTCTGTCTATGGGATTTTTTTTGGTTCCATCCATATTACCTCAAGTTTGAATCCTACTTCAGTATTACCGCTGACATTTAGCACATTCAGCGTTATTCTGGCTAAATGCTGTGGCACTACTTCAGACTTCTTTGGGAGATGACCTATTCTGTATTTTACCTGCTTGCTCATCAGAAATGTTGCCTTTGAACCTTTATGTACAAGTATTTCCATGTCTTGTGATTATTTTTATGTTGCTTTGTTTGAAATGTTGCACATATGCAATTACTAACTTGATTTGATTTGGGCAGCTTTACCTCCAGAGCAAATAAATGCTCTAGAGGAATATTTATTCTAAAAGATAAGTGTTTGCTTTTGGGCAGAACTGTACTGCTTTAACACTCTCATGTTAAACAACGGCCAGAAGGTATGGAGGTGCTAGTATTTCAGTTTGCACAGGGTTATCTTTGTCTAGGTTAAACTGAATGGAAATGGATTAAAGAGGAAGAAGGTATGCCAGTGTTTAAAACTGCAAATCCTTGTGTGAATATTTCAGACAGCTTGTTTAAATAGGGCCAACCCTTACGCTCTAATGTAATTCCACACTGCACATTATCTCTTTGCAAATACACTATTTATATCATCGTAACATAAAAGCTTTGACCTGCAGGACAAAGATTGATTGTGAAAAAAAAAAAAAAGCAATACTGGGAAGGAATTCCATGCTCTAATCAGAAGCGTGCATTCAAAAATGGCCAAGTTGGGGGAGAAAGAAATTTCCTCACTGTCTATTTCATCCAGTGGAATCTGGCCAAATATCTGAAGGTACGGACGATAAAGCACCCTTCTGAATATCCATTCCACTCGGCTGTCATCAGGATGAAGCAGAGCTTGAGTTGTCACACCGTAGGCAATGAGCCACACACTCAAGAAAAATAGAAAGAAGAAAACATCCTTCATCTAAAAAAGAGAGGTGGAGGAGAGAAAAGGAGGAGAGGTGACGTTAACAGCATAGTCAAAAACCAGTAGTCTTTCTAGATGAAAACAGCTCAAATAATTGTTTCTTTACCAGCTTGTTTAGGGTGAAGGAGGTGGAATAGGATACAGTTCCACGTAAAGAATTCCTCTCTTGAAGTTACCATATTGTTCTTGGTCTGCAATCAGCATTTTTCTTTGATAGCATGTTTAGATAAAGGCATGTTTTAAATTTAAACCTTGCTTTTCAATCATCTAACATTTGCAAATGAAACACATTTTACCTTTTAAGTGAATTTCATTGTACCTTTAAATGCAGATTTTCTGTGAGATCTCACAGTCCCATTGATTGCTTTACTGTGAATTAGAAGAGCTCTGCGGCAGCAGTGAATCCTGGTAACAGCTGGTGCTCATTGAGGAATGCTGAACCACTGACACAGCAGACATTGAAGGCTGCAAGGATCTACTTCTGTCTTGGATTTTCAAGCTAAGTAATGCATCTGAGAGATTGTTTTCAGGACTTCCTGCTTTTAAACATTGTGTTTTTCTACAGAAGCAGAAGTAATTGAATCCTAAACCACTTACTTAAAAAAAAAAAATCTAATATGTATTTCAAGTGCAATAATTTTTCCCTGGTGGAAGAGGAACACTTCATCCTCTTTCGGTCTAATCTGGCAGAGTTCATTAGGGACTGTAGATTCATTTCAATTAGATTATTGGGCTGAGCAGTTACCCCAAAGCAGAGGCATTTCAGACCTCCAGGAGGCTGCTTGGAGTTCTCTTAAGAAACATGGTATCTAAGCCAGGCAAGACACAGTTGATGTCTCTCTAACTTTCACCAATCATCTAGTTTGTTTTGTGGACGACTTAAAATTTGGCAATGCTGCAGGACTGTAATGATGTAATAGTTAAGAGAGAACAGTGGCAAATCTGGACGTATGTTATTCCAGTCTGCCCCCTCTCTGTGAACAGGCGTTGTTCTGGCATTGAGCTGCCATTTCAGCAGCTACCAGAGTGGTTTCAGCAATTCTGTTGCAAGGTGGAAAAGGAGAAAGACCATAAGATACAATCTTGGATTGCTTCTCTGTTTAAGTAAGGGAAATTATCTTGCTTGAACCCACTCGATGAACCTTTGAAGGTATCATTTACTGAAGTAACTTTCAGTGTGCTTTCATTTGATGTAAGGTTCATCATTGAACTACCAAAGCTAGGGCATTGTGTTGGCTTGGATGGGGGGAAGATGAAAGGTCCCATTTTACAGTTTGACTGGGCTGCTGTTTATATTCTTACTTGCATCTTCTTGATCTGTGTGTTATCTTATATGTTATCTTCAGATGCCAACATAGCAGACACATCGCCATATTTATTCAGTGCCTTGGTTTAACTTGGTATGCAGCAAGGAAGGGTTAGGAGCTGTAGATCTGTTTTGTTCTCTTAAAATAAAAGTCTGCTAATGCTGTACGCTAGATAATGTTCAAGAACAAATATTTATTTGCCATTTACCCTTTTGCTACTCCAAGCAAATGTCATATTAGAATTCCGGTTATTGCATTTATAGACAAATCCAGATAGCTTGGTAGTTCTGTTTATTCAATGTATAGCCTTATTTAGACTGTAGGGCTTTTACTGAGCTCTGCTGTGAGTCACAAATCAAATATTTGTAGATTCTATAATAGCACTTACAATTAGATGAACTCCTATTAATCAGTTACCACGAGCTAATTGTCCTAGAGGATTAACATGCCTAAATAAAAAGCTCCTTCAGCATACCAACACATACCCAAGCACAGTCACTATAGTCCTAATGTCTCATTTCCTGCAGGAGAATGGTAATAAATAAAAATCTTTTATCAACATCTTCCAACGTATGCTCACAAAGTACTAATATGTTTTCATTGTAACTTGGAGCTACAAAGTACAAGTGATAATAACTCCTGTGGGAAACTTGCAACTATCCTTTTTCACAGATTTTTTTTCACGCTTCCAGAAAATAACATGATCTACGTCCCCAAGCGGAGCAGAGTAATTCAGGAAATGCCCTTCCCTTCTGTAAATGCCTGTCATCTGTCTGAGGTCGTTGCTCTGAAAGTACAGAGATTATGAAGGAGGAGGAATAGCAGTAAGGCAAAGACGATCCACTCTTCATCTGCCAGATATGAGGATAAATGATTAGGTAAGGTACAAGGTAGCAAATTGAGACCAACTGATTATACTGCAGAGCTCTTTGGAAGGATCTAGTTCAAACATTGCATCTAATACTCATGATAAATAAGGAAATATGTCCAAAATGACAAGCCTTAAAAATATAAAAATAAAGACAGATTATAAACGGACTTCCTTTGTAAAGAGAAGACTTCCTACTCTCCATTTTTCCAAAAGCACAAGTATTTATCTGAGAGAGACTGCACACTTACCATCCTTTCCACAATTATGATCTTTGGTCCAAGTTGTTTGTGAATTGCAAAAATATGTATAAGTCTAAGTGTAAACACCATAAAATCAATGGCAAGTATTGTACGGCCAGCTTGAAAAGTCGAGTTCAGCATCCTGCAGAACACATGAAATGAAACATCAGATCTCAGCAAGTACTGCTGAGAAGCATTTTCTCAAATTTTACACTGAGTTTCCAGGCATAGCCTCATTAGGAAAAGGGAAGTGCTTCACGGCTGTGCTTGCATAAGCCTGTGAGAGGAATGTAACGTTACGTCTGTACATTGATGAGAAATAGCCAAAAGGTGGAAGGACACTGTACTCTCTGTCTTGGCTTCAACGAGATTTGTTTGGAAAAAAAAAAAAAAAGGAAAGAAGATATTATACATTGAGTAGAAGTGATTGCCAAAAAAAGCAGAGCTGCTCTGTACGTATGTTTGAACATACCAATATGTCTTTTTGTGGTCTCTGGAGCAACTTCTATGATTCCACAGAATTTGAGAGGCTTTTATTGCAGAAACATGTCTCAAAGCTTGTAAAAGTAAATGTCATAGCCTGTCCTCATGCACACATGAGACTTCTGTCGGTTGACGTACATAACCCTTGCTACTGACGCTGACTACATCCCATGGAACAGATACATACCTGCAGGTTACCCCAATGATGAAGAGGAAGATGGTCACCATATCACATTTATTCCAGTTATCCTCCATATACAGTTTAAATTTTTTCACTAAATTTGTGTCTTCATCTGTATAGAAACTCTGAAAAGAGAAATAATCATCAGTATTGTCCTGTTTCCAGTTTCACTATTTCATTGTGAGTTTTAGCATAATACGCGTTTCCTTTTTCTCTTTCATTGCAACAGGCAAAAACTTAATACCTAGTGTAATGGGAAAAAAAGCTTGAAAACATGAGCTCGGTTTACTGTCTTGAAACACAAAAGTTGGATAAAAAGAAAAAAAATCAAATCTTTTTATTCTTATATTAGCCCTAAGATTTTTTGAGGCCTGATTTAAGATTTTGTCAGCATTTGGGCTGTTAATACAACACATTCCAGTCAAAGTTCAGTTTCTAGACATTGCTATCTAAACAGCACGAACAGATTTGGCATTTGTATACTAGAGTTGTCAGTGAGTGCACATTTTACTATCTAGGCAAAGAATTGGGTTTTAGCCTGGCACTCTTCATGTTTTACAGGTTTCTAATAAAATGTTCTTTGATCCAAATATTTCCATGTCCTCCTCTGGTTATGGCCTTCCTGCATAATTTCAAATAAATCGTAACAAACTGTGATTCCCTGCACTGTCCCTATCGCTTAAATAATGAACACCTATTTGTTCTTCCAGAGTAAATGTTTATAATAGCTTCTTGTCTAAAGAAGACAGCTTTATGCACCCACAGTTGGCAACACACTAGGACCATTGTTTGTACGTTATTTCGGTTGTTGAGCTGAGGACATTCCAAAACCAGTAACTGGGAGAGTAATGGGCAAGTTTGGTTTGATTTGTTTGGTTTTTTTTTTTTTTTTAAGAAGAGCAAACCAAAAAGAGATCTGCTAATGTTTTGAGTTGAGAAGTATTTTAGGAAAAACACAAATAACCTGAAGTCATTTACTTGTTTGTTTTTGTTTTGTTTTGTTTTTTTAAACAGTCCCCTTCAGGGAAGAATCTCTTAAAAGGATGTAGAATTGTCTGCTGTGTTTCCAGGTGTAGAATATAACTTCCATTATTTGTGGTGGGAGTGAAATCAGAGAGATACTTTGCAAAACGAAAGACACCTGAATCTTAGCAGCCCACTTGACTTGGCTGTGGCTGGAGCAGGATGGAAAAACAGAGGTGGAGCTTTATATGGTGGAGGAAGAGCTTGCTCTGGGAGAGAGAGGTGGAGTGCTTTGGAGAAGGTAAGTTCTGTGTTGCTGTTCTGTGCAAAACTGCGCCTGATGCTTGCAATCTTCAAGTTTGTACAGTTATACAGATTGTAAGTGTATTCAAAATAGTGTCTTGAGTTTTACTAGTATTACTAAGGTGTTGTAGGTTACTGACCTGTCGGATTTCTTCCAAGACCAGGGTAAAAACCCAGAAGTAAAGGATAATTTCTTTAGCAGATGGACCCTCAGGTGGAGGTGGTTTAAAGTCCAGTAAAAGGACATAAGTAAATAGAATCAGAAAAGCAAAGTACATTATAACATTCCCTATAAATACAGTTACAGGGGCACTCCAGAATTTTTTCCACCGAGTAAACATGAATGTCACCCACGCTGTGTTTTCAGAAGGGCTCTGCTCTTCTAATTTACCATTTCCTCTGCAAAACAAAAAGAATATAGGCTTGGTGACAATGTCCTAAAGTTAGTTCATGGGAATAGGCTCGGTATTATTCTATATAAAGCTTCTGGTAAGATAGTAACAGGCAGATGCTGGGGATGGCAAGGAGGAGGGCTGTAGAAGTCAGAGTGATCACATTACCATAGCAGAAATATTTCAGGTCAAAAATAAGGTTTTAGAAAACAAATCTACATCAGACTTAAATGCATATTCCTGTTATTTCAGTTTTGTTGTGTTAATTTGATTTGTAACTTCATTGTCTTCCTGCATGTAGTACAAACACTGTGCAAATACACAAGGAGGGGGGAAGTGGGCTAATTGCTCTTTGTCGTCCTAAATAATAGGAAAGAAAAGCAAATGGCCAATATAGTTCGTTAGTCAGCTCTTAATTATTTTGACTCTCAAAATTTCTTGCAGTGTTTGCATGGAGAAGTTCTTGTTGTTGCTGTTATTTTAAGCTATCCTTCTTGACCCAGTCTCAAAAGTGCTGGATCATAGTAAGCATGTGTTTCTCGACTGTCCTTGCTAAAGTCAGAAAGAACTACTGAAGGAATGCTTTAGTCCTTTACACAACTGTAAGCGCTGGCATCCTCCCCTGTACAATTAAATGAGAGTAAATTGCAGAAAAAGTAATATAGAGGAAGCCTTTTAGCAAAAAAAAGTTGACCTAATAAATAATTTATTAAGGTATTCTTTGACTGTTGTGGAATTATGCAAGTATTTTGGTAACTGAAGGGAAATTTAACCTGTACATCTAGGGTTGTTTTTGCAGTGTTTTGGAACATGAAGTGCTATCTATTGGCAATGGAAATTATCCTGTGCAGAAAATGCAGGTTCCCTGGATTTGATAGCAATCTGATCTTAGTGTGAGGTTTTGTTTCCACATAAATTGCTCTCCTGTGTAAGCAGGGATGTTATTGGATCTTTAATTTTGTGATTCTGACTCTGAGAGGTGCGATCTCTAATGAAGGATGTGCGCACTAGGGTATGTTTTAAATTTCACTTGCAACAAATAAACAATGACACTTCCCTGGTTTTTAATTTCCCCTGACATTCTTTCTAATTATTAAATACATTTGTTTCAAGGAAAAGTTTCTCCACACCGCCAGTCTTTTCTGTGTGCCTGATTCTGTACTACCTCTCAATTTATGACATCATAAGATATGTTCCCATGGTAGCAGGCTAATATAATAAACAGATAATTGCAGCTTTACTGTAATATGCTGAAATAGATCTGTGAGAAGAGATCCTCTTTGTTAAAATAAATTGTGAAGATAATAGCAATTGGAGGACATGACGGAACGACCAAACCTGGCTTCACTTGGGATGTGGAAGTGCTTTATGACACTGCTTACGAGTAGCTCCCAGGAGGCAGATGCTCTTACACCTGTTTTATAGGTTAGGGAGGGAACGAGAAGGACAAATTATTTTCTCCAATATAATGGCAGTTAAATGCCAGAAGTAAAAACAGAACCTAATGTTACTTGGTCCAGCACTTCATACTGCGGATCGTGCTTTCTTGCTGCCGCTGTTCGTGTGTTTCTGAAGTTCTGTTTAAATCACTGAAAAGCACATGCTTAGTACAAGTGGCTATTTAGCCATTAAGAGGACTCCTTGTAGCCTCCCAGGTTTTGGTAACGAGTGTGCGGCAGAGGTATAGGGTGGGATTCAGAAGTTCTGTTTCACAGATCTATGAATGACCGCAATCAGCTGTCAGAATCTTTGTGCTCAGTTACCCACTTGTGTAACACTCCCTCTAACTCATAAGTTTGTTGTTGTACTTCAGGTTTCTCAGGGCCCATCTTTTAAAACAGAAATAAAGAGCACTAGTATGGTGGGAAGCTGACAATATAAAATTCCCAGGTACTGATGTTTGCAAGTACTTATGTTGCTGCCTTTGTAGGAAAGTATGTAGTGATGCACTTAAATAATGTAAGGTTTTGCTGGGAGCCTTCTTTCTGCTCAGTTTAGTAATCTGATAGCAGCTTAGTTCCTAAATCCAATGTATATCAGCCATCATGAGCTGAAGGAAATCTCAGCAAGTGCTTTCTGATTCCTCAGGTATTCAGCAGATTCCTTGTTCTGTAGAAATTACCTACTGAGAACAATTTGTGTCTCCTTAAAACAGTGCTATATCCCTGTTTATTGTCTGTATTCTTTTGGAAGTGCAACAACAGCAGTAATCAGAGGGCACAGCACTTTCTGAGGAGGAGTGACTTTCTTGGTCCTTCAGCTGCTCCTTAAATCGTTAGCTGGTCACTAATCCCCAAGAAGCATCCTGTTCTTTGATTGTTGTCACGAAAGTGATATTAACTAATACTTTTAAACTTACCTATCTTCTTCCTTGGAAAAAAAGAGAGTCCTCTCTGTATCTAAACTGTCCAGCTCTCTGAATGGCTCTGGCTCATTCTTTGATTGTTCTTCCTCACTGTAAGGAAATAAACTCATTAGCTGAAGGATGACGGTTAGCAATTTTTCATACTAAATCGGCATTCATACAGAACTGTTAACATGTATTTATCTTGGACTTGCTCCACTGAGAAGCTATCAAAGAATGTGTAATCCTTACCTCTGCACGTTCTGTTTATTTGTAAGAAGGCTGAAGTCACCCACAAGATTCAGACAAGTGATAATTGGCATGCTTCACAAAAATGGAGCAGGATGCTCAGTTTCCTCAAATTACTTATGATTTGAACAGAAATAAACCCCTCAGTCAGTCCTAGAAGACAATACCCCAATGCTCTGTTCCTGGTTATTCTTGGTAGCATTTAAGAGAGGAAATGCCAGGAGCAGTAGAGAACATGGTATCAACTTTAGCATTTCCAGGAAAAGGAGGCAAAAAAATATCCTCAACAGAGCAGATTTGTAAAGGTTTACTTTGATTATGAATCAAAATTTAAGCCTTTCCATGAAAATTTTGCCAAAATACACATTAAATTCCTTGAATTTGTGAATCTGTCTGCCACTAGGGCAAGAAGGTTATCTTTAGTGATGCTGGCATAAGGAAAGTCTCAAGTCACAATTGAAAAAGCAAGAGGAAAACTTGTTTGTATGTAGTTTAACAGTTAAGAAACACATATTTCATATCAGCATGCCATTCCATAATGCCAATTTTTATTATTTGTATATGATTCTCACAATATTAGGAAGTTTTCTCAAAGTTTCAGTTCCTGTATTCTTATGACTGCCTGAGCATCTTGGCTGCTTTTTGTTTTTCTTTTGTTTTGTTTTTAAAGAAAGCCTAAGATTCTAGCCATCTTCACTGTGACAAAAAGCTGAAAACTACGAACTCCAAAGCTATGCTTGCAAGAGACTAACATAGAGATCTTATAAGACATTAAATTTGAAAATCGTAATTGATTTCTTGTCAGTCCTGTGTTTTTAAGCTTTGCTCATAGCTATCTGATAATACGGATAATATGATAATCTGTTGACACTTTGAGGCAATATTACTGTTTTTATCACTTAGGTGAGAAATTTTGAGTCTGGATATTTTTTATGGCTTATTGTTCATCCCTGACTTATCTCTTGTACCCAACTAGTTATGTTTGTACCTGAATGCTATTAAATTTGTGTAGATTAGCAAAGGACACCAGAATCCACAGATTAACTTCAGGATCTGTGTGCTTGTAGACATGTCTCCCCACCATATTTTTGTCAGGAAGGCCTGAAAGTCAAGAAGACAAGAGATGGCTTTAACATCACCAAAACACAAGTGCAGATGAAGTGCACCTATGTTCTGTGGCTCCTGAGACAGGGAATGCTCGGGAAACCTGAAGAGCAGGCACACCTTCAGAGCAAACAGGCGCTCTGCGTGTCCTTCTGCAGATGTTGTTGAGTATGCAAAGAGTTATGAAGAGGACAGTGGAAAGAACAGGAAGCCAAGTGGAATTAAGCAACATCTGTAGTACTAAGTGCAGGTCAGGCACTGGGAGATAAAAGCACCATCACTCTTAATTTAGCTTTGTGTATATGGAGAGAACTCAGGTTGCAAGGACAAAGCTGAATAGTAATTTGATTTATCAGTGAACTCTTCCTTGAATCTGAACAAGGAGTTGCCTCACTTCTTGGAGCTGCTTCATTATGCCTCAGGCAGATTTAAAGTGCTTTCCTGATGCTTCTCCGTGAACACAGGAGGAAGAAAAAGCCCAGGATGGAATAAGGGCTAAACCGTCTCCTCTGCGCACTGGTCTGTGGGCCAACTGGATGAAAAGGAGGGGAAAGGGGGAACTGTGTTGCTTTGTCAAGGATGTGGTATAATGTCCTCTTTGTATGGTGCTAGCGAGAGGGAAGAGTCCCCTCCCCAAAGAATGTCTCTTGGGGGAATACTTTTCATAACATTGTTCAGCTGCTGTGCTATCCTCTTCTGTGTCCAACATCATGTTTAAAAGCCCTGGGGTAGAAATGGTGAGGGAAGGGTCTGTAAAACTTACCTGGACACCATCATGTGCAAAGAAAGACTTTGCGTCCGCTTCTGTAGCCAGCTGAAGGCAGGTGGTTTTGCTCCAGCACTGATTTTTCCTCACCAACAGTGCAAAGGCTCTCTCCTCGCTGTTGTGGTAGCATTCACTGAACAGTTCTGCCAAGTAAAGGGAGCACAGACAAACAGATCTTGTAATTTAAAAGAAAAAATTTGAAAAAATGGATATAAGGCAAGAGAGTGGTGTGTGTAGGGTGCAGCTCGATGGCAGCAAAGCTTGAGCACTGCCAGATGCTCCTTGGTGCACCAGAGACTTCTGCAAGGCTGAAGTAGTTGAAAAGAGCCTGAGCAAGCTAAGAGGAGGTGGGAGGGAGAGAGCAATGATGCTGGACACAAGAATAACTTGCTATGGCTTTATGCATGTGTTGGGGCAGAGGGCAGATGAAATATATTTGTCATGGTTAAAAAAAAAAATCACCAATTTTTAACTTCCCACTATTTGCAGAAAGGTATGGAGTAAATCTCACAGTACCTCCCTCTCACCTCTTTCTATCTCCATGCTCCCTTCTCAGCCTGGGGCTTCTAACAGCTTTGAGTTGGTTTGGTTTTGTTTTGTTTTTTTTCCTATTGTTGTTTGATCTGAGGAGAAAATTTTATTTTTCAGTTCTTCTACAGACAGCATAAGAAACTTATTGGAAACATATCAGTATTTGTTATAGTCCCTTTTCTGTAGCTGCCTCATGTGGAGCTTTAGGCAATATCAAGCAAAACTGTATCTCTTGGGTGATCCACTTACGCTTTGAAGGATGAGTTGCCAAGCTGTCCCTGCTCTCCTGAACAGACTAAACAAAAGGAGCTGCTGAGCTTTGGCTTGTAGCCAACAAATCCTTGGTTTTAAGACATAGCTATTTGACATAAAATAATACTAGACTTGGTAGAGTCTTGTGGAATAGTTCTGTTTACAGAGAGTCTGGTCCTGGATCTTGGAAACTAGGATAAATAGTCCAAAAAGTCAAGTTTTTCTCATTAGACAAGACCAGACTTCTTGTGCCTGTTCCATTCTGCTGACTCACTTGATTATCTGGGTACCTTCCCTAGGCCAGGCTACACCTTGTTGTTAACACTGCGAGGGCTGGGGAAGGGATCAATTCACTAAAAATAAGCTGATATACAGCCTTCGTTTGCAGTTGGTGTTCTATTTATCATTCTTAAAGAATGTTTGCTCCCCTTAATATTGGCAGTGTTATTGGGCCAGAAATTAAAACTGAGGATCTGATCTAATACTTACCAAAGCCAAGGGCAGACTCCTGTGTACTGCCCTGTAATTCCATGACGAAATTACTGGAGCCCTGTGATTATATGAGAACCTGACTTCTCACAGCAACATTATTATTTACAAAAAACAGAAGAGTGAAAAATGTGCTTTGTGTATAAATAATGTAGCAACGTCTCCATGAGCCTTCAGCTGCTTGATGGACTACCTCTAAGGGGAGAGCAAGAGCCTCTGTATTTCCACATGTGGCGTATTTTAAATCCCTCTGTTCACAGCAGTGTTACCTTCGGGTACGGATTAGACTGAAGTCAGATCAGCAGAGAAGCTGCGTGCAGGCATCTGTTTTTAAAGCAGGCGAAGAGGAGAGGGCTTGGCATTCCGGTATTGCCTACGCCTGAATGCTTACCGCTGTAGGGAGGGGCGGCTTATCTGCTGCGAAACCAGCCTGAGCCTCACTGCAGTTTTGCAGTGCAGTTAGCCCTCTTCTGGGTGAGGTAATCCCAAATTAGTTTTAGCAGCGAAGACAAACCTTGAAACTTGTTGCTCTAGTGGCCCTTACAGAGCAAGCTTGATATTGCAGGAAAACCAGGCTGCTGTGAGCCTAGAAGTGTTTCGGCTATTCTCTCTTGCCCGTGGCTGTAACACCCCTTGTACTAAGGTCAGACACTTAAAATACCAACATGCAGCAGGAGAGTAATTTCTTCCATACATCCCAGGGGCCAGCCTTGGAACACTGATTTTTCCAAAATGATTGGGTTTTGAGTCCTCCTTCTGTGGTACTGGAATGTTTGGGACTGCCTGGGCTGCAAGGCTGTTAAATCACTCATGACAGTTGACCTTTAACAACTGAAACGGTATTTTTTTCACTTGCTTGCCTTCCAATGGCAATCACTTCTTAAATTTTTGATGCTGTTAAAAAGGTGCCGTTACTTACCAACAGCGAGCTGCTCATACTTGGCCTCTTTCATTATACGTGCTCCTTCAGTCTCTGTCTCCAGGCGGGACATCTCTTTAAGGATCTTGCAGGCTGCCAGAGCTGAAGCTACACCCTCCTGACCCTATAGAAAATCAAAAGGGGGGCTGCTGTTACCACACACTGGAGGGCATTTCTGAACTGGGGAGGCTTCACTAAGGAACACATCTAGCGAAAAAGTTCATGGGTGTCCCTGCTTTGAAGAATCCTCCCTCAAATACAGACTTGAAAGTCCAAAATGTTGATTGAAATTACAGTTTTGGTGATATTTGAGAACTGTCAACCTCGCATTGGTAGTTCTTGTGCCTTAAGGCTGGAGATGTCTGGGTTTGATCGACCTCAGAGGGGTTTGGGGTAGTGTGCATTATGGAAACAGAGCAAAACAGTCTCACAGTGCCAAGGTACCTCAAACGTGTCTGTGCTGAGACCCTGCAGAAGGACGTATGGGAAAGGAGGGAGCACAGTGGCACGCAGCAAAGAAACGTGCCTTCTGGTAACAGGCTCCACAAACACAGGGCCCTGCAAGGTGCAGATGTGTCTGCACGCACACACGCTCCCTGACTGAAGAGCTGGGCTGCGGTCTGTCCCTCCTCATGACTCCCCCGTGCCAGATGCAGCTGCCTGGGAGCTCAGGGATGGAGCCTGAAAGCTGTGTCTGGTTCTGGGCGGGGGGAAGCTATGGCATTGCAGTCCAGAAGCATGAGACAGGGCCTCGGTTGTGGAGGACTGGAAAACAGGAGACAATTATGCCAGCTTGAAGCTCAGCCTTTGAGACTGCGATGCTGTTGTTCCCTATGCATACAGCACGTAAGCTGAAGATGCTGGAGTGCACCCTCTTCCCTCTCCATCTTGCTAGAACCCAAACAATTGACTTATTGTAGGAGGAACAAAACCTGAGACAGAGTGGTGAGTCAGCAGCAGCAGGGAAGAGGGGGGCCAACTCTGCAGCTGCAGTTAACCAGCGGTGTTTCAGGCTGTGCTGATTTATACCTGCTCTGCCCTCCCTCGCTGTCACACCCTCTGGCCTCTGCTGGCATAAACCACATGGAGATGAAAGCCCCGAAAATTGCTGCATCCCATATTTTAGAAACAAACTTATCTGTCATCCGAGCTGCAAGACTGAGCAAAAACCAGCTCATATACTTGAAACACGCGAATGTTTCACCTGAAGCAGCTACAGCTCAAAGCTTACCATAGCCCAGAAATAGTTTGCCATCTTGTGCCGGTTTTGAAGTACTGCCCATACAAACAAATCCCTCCAAGGATTTTCACTTTTCTGGTTCATATCCAAGGGCCCAGGTAATTGCTTTGTATTCATTTTATCCTGAAATGTAGTTTGTAAAATTAAAACCTGCTTTGCAGTCTCATTCCTTGCAAAAGACATGATCTAAGCTGCTCTTGGCCTTGCCAGCTACTTGGTATTCTTTTGATTTTTCTTTTCTGTAGGACTGAGAGGTAATTAGTTCATTCTGTACTGAGTCAAAGGACCTCTGTGTCCTTGATTTAACTCAATATGTGTGAGAATGTTCTGGATGAAACCGTGACTCCATTGAAATCGATGGCATTGACTTTATTAAGGGCAGGGTTTCACCACTGGTGTGTAATATCATACAAGACAAACCTGTGATTAACTAATAGGAGCTTGCCTTCAGTTATACTGGGTTCTGCTCAACTGCCACAGAGGACGTGGTTTCAGAGAAAAGGGAACAAAAGGCATTTTATTTCAACAGAAATAAATCTTGCCAAGGCTCTGTACAGGACAAGAATAGAGTACGTCGATGCCCTCTTTTTAGTCTTTCCTTTGAGAAACCTCTCCCTCATGCAGGTAGTATTGTAAGTGGAACACTGCTTATTCCTCTTGTATTTGATAAAAAAAACTCTCCAGAGGAAGTGTGGCAACTTAGGTCAAGTTTTGAGTTTTAAGTGTATTTAAAAACTTCCTTTATGTGTATTGTGTTAATTAGAAGCAGCCAGAATGGATTTTATTTTGTTTATTTTTTTTTAAATAAAACAAGTTTTAGTGAGCATATTTTTTGTTTAATCACCTAAACTATGGTATTCTGTTCAAATGTATTTTAATGGCATTTTGGGGGGGTGTTGGTGTTTGGGGTTTTTTCTTCAGTTTGTAGAAAGCTATTTAATCAACTGAGTTGCACTGAAAACCTTGCAAGAGACAAAGATATCCCAAAAGTCTCATCAGTCTTTGTAACCGCTAAATCCTAGCTTGAAATATGACACAATTTAGCAGCAGTGACACTGGTATCCCAGTACAGTGATGCCCTTTCTGCTGCCAGTGGTAATGGGATTGAGCCACGGGTGGCAGCCATGGGAAGAAACTTTTAAAGGGAAAAGCTAGTAGGCTGTGTGATCTGCTGTCTGAACTGGGCCTGATCTATAGCACTTGGCTTTAGCTCACATGCTGCCAAATCCCACAAAGATAAGTAAGATTGCAGGGGCAATTTTTTATTTCTGTGAAATTTGTAAGTCTGGCTTCCGCTTAATGACTTCAAAGGTATTGTCCCAGATTGTCTGTCCTTGTGAAGAAAGAAATCCTGACTAGATTAAAACTTATCTTTTCATACTGCTAATTAATTTAGCTAGGATTTATCAAAGCAAAAGTGATTTAAGCTCTTGAGTGAGAATTTATTTTTTAATAATTTTTTTAGCTTCAACAGTTTTAAGATGAAACGAACTTGGCAAATATCAAGAGGTTTAATTGCTTAGTGTCTAAAAAACTGATCTTAGTGAAATTTCTCTGTACCTCTCTGTTTTGAAATCATGCATCCAAACTTACTTCTGGTGCTCTTGCAAGAACTTTGGTACTTATGAGTTTCAATGTTCAATATACTGTCAAAATGCCAAAATTATGGTATATCTCTGGCATGATTGTGGACAGCGTACTACAGGCATTGCACAGTGGTACCCATCACATGTTACCCTTTCCATGTATTGGCCAGGGTGCTTGTCAGGGTCACTTCACACAATTGTTCTTATTTCTTGCTGTGTGTTATGTCACTCAGTAACAAGACTATAATGATCTAAAGGCATAAACATAAATCTATCTCTTCATATTCCTTAAATACCTTTCATTGAACCTGTTCTTATGCATGTGAGGCTAATAAGATCAACAAACTGTTCTCCCTGTGCCAGGTGCTAAAATGAGGAATGGTCTGTGGAAGTTGTGCTAGAAGTGTGAGATACAGGGGCCCCTGCAGGTTCTGAAACAGGGGCCGTACCTTAGCCCTAGTTCAAGGCACAGTAAAACCCTGCAGAAAACCCCACGTGCAGTGGCGGAGAAAGAGGAATCGCAGCCTAACTTAGCAATTCCTTTATTCTCCTTTTTAATTTTGAAATTAAACCATTTTAGCTGTAATAATAACAAACTGAAAACAGGAATGAGAAACTGTTTCTTTCATCTTCCCTTTCCTTCCCTGCCCCACCCCCAAGGGCTAGACCTAGTTAAAACATTTTTCAAATTCTGAATTGGAGGGGAGTAGGACTATGATGGAAAGTTGTAACTCACAGATTTCTTCTTGCCTCCATGTCTGTGGTCTTGATAGAAACCTTTACATGCTTCATGGAGAAAATCCTTGAGAACTCTAGAGACCTCACTGAGAGTGAAGTGTGGGCAGATGTCCTGCTCCTTATGCTGTTGACCAGTGAGCCCTGCCAAGGTCAGCTTGCTTTCTTCATGTTTCTTCAGTAGAAGCTCATAGAGGAGACATTTCTGAGAAATGGAACAGTAGAGTCTCTGCAGACGACTATATGTCAGGAATTCAGAGATGTTAGCCCCATTGTCAATAAATAATTTTACAAATTCTGGTTTGTCGTTGACCAGAGCGTCCATCATCACGTCTTCCAGGTCACAGGACTAGATTGATGATGGGGAGAGAAAAAAAAAAAAGCTTTTTGGGGTAATCACGGATGGATGAGGAGGGAAGTAACATTTAACATGAGGACATGTACATTTTGTCTTCCACCAGGTCAACAGTGGGTACAATGAGAAAGAGAGCTAGAACGCTCTTCATTTCTCTGTGACAAGATGTCTGTGTAAGCCTTAACGTTAAAATACACAAATAGCATGCAATAAAACCTGGTACCTTCCACTCCACGTCACCATTGAATATTTCGCTTTTAGCTATGTCCACTCTATTCCAGGCCACTGCCAGCTTCAGTTCATCCAGATATTCCTGAGCCTCCTGACTGTGACTTTTACAGGCTGGCAAAAATAGGAAATGCAAATAAACTCAGTACTTTACACTTGTTATGTTTAATTTAATATAGTATTGGTAATTTGATTGGCAATGCAAGCTCTCCTTCAGCTAGCACAGATCTGTGGGTTGCTTAACCAGGAACCCTTCACAGCATTTTTTTTTCCTAACTTAAGAAATATTAATATTTAAAAAATATAATTTTTTTGTTAGCTGAATTATCTATTAAAACATCAAGTTTAAATGTCTGTAGGATTTTAAGAGAGACTCTGACTTACAGAAGGTAGGGACAGGACTGGCTATTGTTTTTTTTTTGTCTTGTTTCAATTAGCACATTAGGAATAAAATGTCTTTTTGTCCGCATGCTAAATTTAGGCTAACACAAACAGATTAACATGAACTGAAATGGGTGGCAGAGCAAGTATGTCTTCTTTCAGAAGATACAGTGAAGATTTCTTATAGGAGAAATGGAATCTTTCTGGAACTAAGGCAGTTCAGGTATCCTTGCAGGCTTGTGAGGGGTTTTTTTGTTATTTTTTTTAATGGCTTGTAATTGGCATAACTGCTGCAGTATATTTCAGTTCTTCTATAATCTCTACTAGTAAGAGAAGCAAGCAGTGAAATAAAGGAGCAATTAAAATTGTACTAATGACAGCATGAGATTAAAAAGCAAAGACTAGTTTAAAGCAAGGTTATAAGACCTATGGTGACTGCCACAGTTAATTTGTCAATAAGCAAGCAGAAGAACTCTGCATCAGCGATGAAATCTGATCCAACAGACAACTGAACTTCCTCTGGACAAGAATGAAATTAAATTTATGGCATGGAAGAACTCAAGACAAGTATTACTCTGTGCTGTATTTATTGTTCTTACCTTTTACTAAAGCTTTTAAAATGACTGTGTCTAGTTCTTCTGCACCATCTTGCTCGAAGTTGTGCAGAGTTAGAAGATGCTGGTGTGAAATAATGTTCTGAATCTATTGGGAGTTGAAACAAAAATAATATTATGCATTGTCCTACTGCTATATATTAATACCAAAGAGCCTGATGGAGATCACCCATACAATATTTCCCCAAAACTTCTGTTCTGATTGTAAAGCTGAGGTTTGGCAAGAAGACAATCATTATTAGTTTCCCATATATAAATAAGTCCTAAGGCAAGGAGGGAGTTACTACCTTTTCCAAAATCTCCTAGTAGAATAGGAGGAACAGAACATGGATATCCTGAGAACCACAGCAGTACCTTAATTAAAAGATCCTTCCTTAACTCACATTCTTATTTGACTCCTGGTCATGCTGTGGACAGCATACCACGTTGTTTTACCTTTTCCTGCTTTGACATTTGAGTTTTACTCTGAGTTGTTTATTTAAAAGCATAGTCTGTAAATCTTTGAGCAAAAGTCCTCAAATGCTGCTACATAGAGTACTCTTTCCTTTTGCTTCTCTATTTATTGAGTTTTCTTTCTTGCAGTGCAGCTGCACCAAAACTTGGTGAGCATCTGGCAATATTGCTTCTAGATGCCCTTCCATACCCTTTTGTTAGTGATCTGGCAAAGTTCTCCCATATGGAATTAATACGTGGAACTTTCAAAGCTAAGGATTCCAGCAGGGACTGCAAAGAATAAGTAGTCGGTCAGGTCAAGTGGGCTTGGTTTATCTCAGAGGCACACAGCACTCTTTAATCTTCACATAAAGACTATGTCAATGTGTTTTTTTGTCTCTAAACACTTATGTGTAGTGGTTTAAGTCCAGCAAGTGTGCCTCAAGACAAAGAGTAAGGAAAATCTGCGAATCTGTTCTTTCTTTTTTAAGAACACACATAACTGACAATAGATAATTTATAAACACCCTTCTTTCTTTTTAATTTATTTGTGCTTATCCACAATTGGGTTTCCATGTAACAGCTGTAGATCATGAATTGGGTCTCTCTGTCACAGCTGCACAAGCTCTACAGCTGTGGAGTGTAAATAATGCTCCACGTCCTCCAGAGGAGTGGGGGGTTCCTGGCTGTTACTTGAGGAAATGGCTGAAGAAGGACAGAGGCCTAAGTGTTCAGCTGGATCACTAGGACAAAGTAGTTTGTATGATCAACTGAGCACTTGATTTTAATGTTAGAGAGGTATTCTATGACACTAGTGTCTGAACACTGGAGTTCCCAAAACTTCTGGGCAGCTTCTTGTCAAACCTGTACTGAATGGACTACCGAAGCTAGAAATGATCGGAGAGAGCTTGTGAACACCATGATCAAACAGATGAGCTCACTGTTGCTGTCCACTGGAGAATGTCCTTCCACAAGAAGCTTTCTGCAGGGAATTTCTCCTTAAATTGCTTTTCAACAGCTTCTGGTGTGATAAGCTGCGGGTCGTTCATGAATGCAGCTAAGATGTCAGCTGTGCCTCCAGACCCTGCTAGGATAAGCCAGGGAGCAGAATTTTCCAAACCGCTGCAAATTCTCTGTAGTTTAAAAAGTACATTTTTAGAATTCATATATGAAAAGAAAATATTATCAAAAGAAGGGTTTCTTGCAAACTAGGAATAAACATGTACATAAACCAGATTCACTATGGAGTCAGTCCAGACTCTCTAAGCTATTAGGATTTTTCTGATTCTGTAGCAGGTCATCCACGTAGAGGCCCCTGACTAGAATTCTTTTCATGATGCATCTGCTGAGTAGCTACTCAACCTGATTTTGACGAACAACACATAAAACTTCTTTGTCCCTGACTTCCCCCCTATCCCACCCCTGCAGTTTGTGTTTCAGTGTAGTCAAGTGCAAGAGGAGCACTATACGGAAATTCTCAGCAGGCTCTTCTGGCTGCTAAACCTGGTGATGTGTTCTGAAAATCAGGAATTTGCCTGTGGGAATAACATTGGGTCACAGGAAAAAATACTGAAGCATAGCAGCTACAAGAGTTAAAGGCTGGTAGTTCTATTACTTGTGCAACTACAATGAGTCAGGCAGGTTGTTGGGAGAGGAAAGCAGAATCCACGGCATCGTAATTGAAATAATAACTATTCGCTGCTGATCTATTTCTTACTCTGCAGTTATGCAAGAAGCTCATGAGAGTCTATGAATCTCACTATTGATTCACTTGTTGTGTACGTTTGGTTGTTTTTTTAGTTTAGTTTTGTTCTGGTTTTTTAACAACTGTTGTAGTCCTTGGTGTGTATTACCCAATTTGTATTTAAGAAGGTAACACTCTGAAGAAGTGCAATCAGTTATCTGTTCCCAGCACAAATGTAAATTTAGGGCAGCTCCAGCCAGTCACCTTTGCTATCCAAATCACTTTGTTCCCTCAGACTTTGAAAACAGGATTTATAGGTTGTGATATGTGATGTTTCAACACCCAAGATAAAGAAAATGCTGCCATATTTAGCTTCTAGAAGGAAATCTCAAGAGGTGACATAATCCTAGTTTAAACAGTGAGACACTAATACCAGTGTGTGTTCTAGTCCAGCTGACAGAGATACGACAAGATACAGTGAATGGAAACCGAAACTAGAAAACGTCACCAGAAGCGAGTCATCATTCTGAAAGAGGTTGCCAGCTTGTGTGGCAGTCTCATCACTTGGAAACTTTGAATTATGGATAATGTCTCTCTAAAGGTACTGCAGACTTCTTCTTTTCATCTGAGAGTACTATTAAAAAAAAGCCGCGTGGACAGACAGGCTGCTACAAAGTAGCAAAAAAACCCCAAAAAACACCAAAAAACCAAAGCAGAAAAAGTAAAATAGAAATCAAAGAGTATCTCATAATTGCCAGGTTTTTGAAGTTGCAAAACTGCTTGGAAAAAATCAAACCTGATCCTTTGCTGAAGAAGTTGTGGGATTGTTAGCAAACAACTCTCGTCTTCTATCCTACAATACATGTTTACTGAGTAGAACTAGGACACTAGGTTTAAATGGCATATCTAGCAAACATGGTCTTGTACTTGCTCTGAGCCCTGTGACAGAGACAGTTGTCTCACTGTAACTGGACAGCACTGAACAATTAATCTTTTTTTTTTTTTTTTGTATGTGATCTTGAGTAATAGCACAGTATTTCTATTTCACTAGATTTGGAGCTGGCTTCTGTGGGTTTGTTTCAGTTTTGTATTCCTTCTTCTCCCTGTAGAAGCTGGCAGCTTTAATGATCAGCTGGCACCTACTCAAAAGGAAATATTTCTCCCAAACAAATACTGGCAAATTTAATATAACAGACTTCAGTTCTTAATGGTTTATAGATACAAATTTTGAATTTACGTAAAGTGCCAATACATGTGTTTGTCATCCAGCCAAATTTTCCATTAATTACTTAGCACCATTTGATTTATTTTTCTGAAATGGCAAATAGGTTCTTACCTCCAGTGTGCCTGGTCCTCCATTTACCAGTAAGCAAAGAACAGGGATCTCGATGCTACCTGTTCCTGTGAAACAGACAGTTTAATTCTTAAAAAGTTAAGAGCTTTCACAAAACTCTTGTGTTTCTGACAACTGCTTGAAAGTACTTCTCCTGTTATGTGCTGTTCTGGTACCTACCAGAACATGAGCCTGCAGAACACAGGCAGTTGCAGAAGCAAGTGGCAAAAGAAGAGAAGGACCCTGTGACCTAGCAGGTAGGGTCCTAGGCTCAGATTCAGGACAAAGGCACCTTTGCCTTGCGTGTCCTGTGTGATCCCTGGGAAGCAGTTCCATCTGTTCTCACCTCAGTACGCCTCAACTCCAAAATAAGGATGTTGGCACTTGTTGTATGGCACAGCGCTGTTGACTTTAAGGTACTTATTTACTGCAAGGCGATCAGATAGTGGAGGGATGGAGCTGCATTAGGGTGCAAGACAAAACTTAGGTTTTCAGAAGGGCAGCTACCATGATTTATATTAAGATACAGTTAGAAGTGAAAATCTGTCAGTTTGTCCCAGGTGTTATGCATGTGCCTGGGCTGTGCAGGAAGGCGTGGTGGAATCCAGGAGAAAAGCCTGATAAAAGGAGGATTTAAGAATTCCAAGAGACTGACTATGTAAGCCAGCCAGGGTAAGATAAATCAGATAGTTGATAGGAACCATATACTCTTTACTACTCTGCTTAAACAGATTGAGATTTCATTCAGCACAGTCTAATGTGGTGATTATTAATAACATAATCTTATACATTTGAAATAAATGCTAATGAAATATTTCACTTATGTCAGGGTCGCAGGGGAAGAAACAATGTAGGCAAAAAAAAACCACAGGGGCCCACTTATTTCTAAATGGTTTGTACTGTAAATGCTGAACTCCCTGATCCTCCCTGAACTCCCTGATGGGGACTACAGAGTGGCCTAAAAGGGTTCCATCAAAGCAGCAGCATCATGAGATGCCTCTTTCAGTTGGAAGATAAAAGGCATTTGGTTTGAGCAATTTTTTGGTGTTTTACTTTGTAGGTCTCCCAGAGCAGTGTACAGATTGCTACTTAAAACTTGTTGGATCTCTACAGGGATAAGGTAGAACTGAGCTGTAGCCAGGACGTGATTGGCAAGTAACTTCATTTGTTTTAGTGAATGGTGTAGCATTGCCATACCTCTGTAAAGTGATGTTCCAGTTTGAAGAGTCACCTCTGTGACTACACATTCCTCAAGATATGTTTATGGCTTCAAATGTTCTTCATTTACCATAGATTTAGATAAAATTTAGCTAGAGGAGGGGTGGGGGGGATTCTGACTTTATGCTGGGAAGGTAGGAAGTCCTTAATTGCAAAGAATATTCAGCATCTCAAAAATTTCTTCTGAATGACTTCTAGGTATTTTTTTAATAGGGAAATTCTACATGACCTTACTAAAGTGTTTTATTTCAGTAATGTCGCATAGCTTTTCTCAGCTTGAATACCAAAGAGATTAAATTAATTACATTAGTTTTGTTTATAGCAGGTATCACTGAATTCAGTATGGCCCAGGGAAATATTTGTCAAAGAATCAGCATTTTTTGACAGAAAAATGTTCCACTGAGATTTGTTCAATTGGGTTTGCTTTGCAAGAAGAAAGAGGCTACTTTCTAACTCTCAGCACTGCAGCCTCAGCCTACCATTACAGTCCAACTGGGATCTTTTCTGTCTGAGTCACCAGCTAGGCATTCTCTGGGTGTGTTCACGCTCTCGGGTACATCTGTGCAACCATACTGTGGGCTATGTAACTGAATATTCCATTGATGCATTCAAGTGTGAATAAGTGAGCTCTCCCTCTGCTTCAGCTGTGCTAGTACTGCAGGTATTAAAGGAACAAAGAAAAGGTAAAAGTCATTGTATTAGCACTGCAACTGAATTCTTTCTGCAAATGGCAGTGGGAGGCCTGCCCAGCACTCAATTCTCATTATAAAAAAAGTCACATAGATTTAGATGGCCATTAGATGCTACATTGTTTACCCAGGACAAGATTTTACCGAAGTAAACATGGTTTAAAATACTTCAGAGGGCTTTGGAACAAGTCTTTTCTTCCAGTGTGGGAGCAATTCAAGACCCTGTGTGCGAGAGGGGATAAAAGTATACAACAGTGAACATCCATCTCTTGGAGCCACTGGTTAAGGCACTTAAAGCTGGATTCATTTTCCATTCATTGTGTTTTGAGGCAATTTGAGCTATGCTTTGAAGATCAGCTTTGGGCTATGTTTAAGGAAATGTGATAAAAGTCAGGATTTTTGGTTCGAAGAGCAGCTTTCTCAACTTCAGAAGTCACCCTAGCTCTGTCTCTTACATAATGACAAATGTGTTTACTTGATCTTGCCTATGTAGATGATTGTCCAACTTGACAACTGGACTTTCCTTTGATAAGGCTGGGGGCCCACAAGTATCACTAATATCAGTATTATTGAAATTAACGTGCCTATATAGAGTCTACTTACCATCATATCCAGTACGCTGTTCTGAAATGTGCTTTTCCAAGGTGAGACGTAGCTTAATGGTTCCATCTGCCTCATCTGGTGTTACATGATCCACCAAAATAAAATGGGAATGGTTGTGGTCCAGGGAATAAAGCGGGCCTTGGATATTATCATCTGATTGGTAGTGTACAAGACTCTCATTCTAGAGAGAGGAAGAGAGATGTTGGTGTTCTCTACAAAACACAGTCCATGTTTTTATGTGCTTCATCTCTGTTTTTGTGTTGTCTGCACCATGACATAGCACAACACCTTTGAGACACTTGGATAGACTCTTTGAAAAGGATGGAGGAGGAGAATGTGTTCCTTCTGGAAGGTGCCAGATTTTACAGGACTGAAAACTGAAGTCCCTGAAGTTTCCCTCTTGGGCTCTGCAAAATATAGTGATGTAAGCTTTCTGAAACATGGGCATTCATTCAGAGGTTTTGGAAATGTTTGTTGGACAAATGGAAAGGGGCCATGAGACCCAACAATTGTGAATGGAGCGGTGATGTCTCAGCCAGTGAAAACAGGGGCAAACCTACTTATTTCAGTAGCATTTTGTCCATGTTTAGCCCAGGAGATAAGTTAGTCTCCTATGTGTCTGTACCAATTTAAATGCAGCTTTATTTAATTGACAGGGTTATATAAGGTCTAATGGTTATTCTCAGTTTGGAAATGGCATTCTAAAAGAGTGACTGACAGGCAGACTTGAGAAAGTGCTATCTTCTTATATTTTATTTTGGGTGAGCGGTGTTACATCTTGAAATTATTAATGAATTTTTGCATAAAACCACTGTCTTGGTGAAACAGAACCCCTGTTATAGTCTCTTGTTCTGAGGATTGCGCTACATATGATCTTCCATGCACACACTTTTTCAAGTTCTCCTTACTTCCTTAACAAATCTGTCATTCCCACTGTTGCACACCCACTTTGGTGTATCATTGTTAGCTGCAAGCCAGGCTGTAAATGCCTGGTTATTCTTCTTTTTCATCTCTGTAATCGTTGTTCTGTTACAAGTAAGCCAGACTAAAGCAATTGTTTAAAATCAGAATTTCCTTCTATCATGTCTCTTTTCCAGCTCCTGCAGCCTTTGAGTTGATGAACAAAACTTAAACTGTCCATTTGGCTATTGTGCTTCTGTATTGCATTACTCCTCCCACTAATTTTGTGGACACAGACAGATGTTAAAGCCTTTCTAGACACTGCAGTGTAACTGTGCAAGTAACCTAGCTGTCATTAAGGTATGGCAGAGATTTATGTTCTGGTTTTTAAGAGCCAGATCTTCTGTGGAGCCTTTCCTAACCTCAGCATTGGCAGTGTCTGCTAGGAAGAGCAGGTGCCCAATTGAATCCTGGAGGAAGCCCAACCCGGGGGCTGTCCAGGTTCTTCTCCACAGCCAAGGCTAAGGCTGATGTTGGAGAGGCAGTGAAAATATCAGCAGGAGCTCATAGCACCACTACTACTGCATAAAAATTCGTGCTGCGGGTAGAAGAGTTGAGCACACTGCATAGCATGCCCCTAAGTGGCTTTCTGAAATTAAGCTGCATACAGTCAAATGGGAGACATCTCCTTCAAAGCAAGGTGGAAAAGGCTATAATCTGGTGTGTTCCTATGGCTTCTTTCCCTGACAGCAGCTCTGGGAAGAGCAGAACATCAGAGGCTGTTCCAGGGGACATAGCAGTAAATTTGCATGTCCTTTACAAACAGCAAGTGCCACAAGTTTCTTTTACCTCCTTCTCTCTGTCTCTCATTTGTTGGGGAAAGCTTCTTGATACAATTAATTTGCCTTCAAATGTTGTTTTGACAGAGGACGTGCCTATGTTCTGCTGCCATTTAACATGAAGCCTACTCACAAAGATCTGGCATTTCATTAGGACTGGGAGGCACAAGAAACCATTGAAAAAGGCCCTCGGGGATTTTCCTATTTATTCTCTGAAACGTGGCAGGGATCTTTCAGTGATGTTTAAGGCATACCATTAACACAGAAGAGATGGGAGGGATCCACTGAATTCAGGGCTTGTTTTTCTCCTCGCTAGTGTGGATTGTTAGCTCTATTTTATACAACAAGCTGCTTGTGTTAGTGCCAAGTATAAAGAGAACTGGGTTTAGATCAACATCCCTGTCTATAGTTCCTTTGTCTTAAAGTTACTGACTAAAATCCAGAATGTCTTTGGGTGGAAGCAATGCCAGAACTCATAGGGTCAGGAACACTCTACACTAAATATTCCTTAACAAAAAAAATCAGGCTTTAGTTGAGGGGGAGAAAATCTAATGCCATAAAAAGACCAGTGCACTTGTTTTGTACCTTCTGGTTGGGAAAGATCCAGATGAATTTTGATCACTTAGCCTGAGAAGGATGTGAAATAATTAATTTACATTCGCCAAAGCAACTTTCCTGAACAAAATTCACAAATGCAGTGAACCAAATACTTTCCTCTGAGGTCCTTTTGGACCAGTTCAGCCACACAAATAGGTTGAAGTGTTCCAGCTAAAGAGTCCCACCTGGTAGAGCACACAGGTGGCTGTCCTCAGCAAAAAGGATGGAAAAAGGGGAAGCCCAATGACAATAAATTGCTGAGAGGGTCTGGCAGTCTCCCAGCCTATCTGAGAGAAGAACTAGGGGCGAGTTCAAAGGGCTGTGTTTGTCATTTGTTTCTTAGCTTCTGCGGGGAGGTAAAATAACACAGAGGAGCTGCCATTCACTGTTACTACACATCTACTTTGTTGTTATAAAATTCTGCTTAGGACAGACTGTATATCCAGTCATAAGAAGGCCGTGCCATAATTTTTTGTTTTTCTACACCTCCAGGTCAATTCAGCATCAACTTTCCTTGATATCTTCAGCAACTTTTTTTTTTTTATTAGGTGTTTGTGGTTTGGTTTTTTTTTTCTTTTTTTCCCCAGGAATTTTGATTGCTTTGACCTGAATTGTGAAGTACAGACAAAATCCTGCATGGCTAGCAATTTTGGCTGGGTGTGTTGAGCAAGATTTTTGCATATTAGACACCAATTCAATGACTGCTTAAGAAAACTTGGTCTTGAAGTATTTGTGGATTGTGTTCCATACTAGAAAATATACTTTTTACAGTATTGATGAAATAACTTGGAGTAAGTGCTTCTGCAGTAAGTGGACAAGGGGAAAAAAAAATTATTCAAGGTACCTTATGATGCATTATTTTTTCCTGATGTTCATCCTTACTCTGGTCACTGAGCTAATGTCTAATGTTGTCACCTGCTGGATATGTGCAGAATTGCTGCCAAGTGTACTGAGTGCACAGGGCACAGAATCATTAGGGTCTAAGTTTGTCCTGTTCTTTATTTCTGTTTTCCCCCAACACACACTTTAAACCCCACTTTTGTTTTCAAGTGAGATCAACATTCTTCTGCCTACTGCTTCCAAATTTTGTAAAGGTGCAGCTTCCTTATGGAACAACCCAGTCTCATGAGTAGAATAAGTGAAAAATACCTTTGTGTTGTCCAGAATTTCTCTGTGCTGAATTTTTCTGAGTGAAGTTATTCCTATGGCAATCACTTTTACTTTGGATGAGGTACTAGCCAGCGCATGGTCTCGGACTGCTTGTACTAAGTGTCTTGTTATTCCCACACGTAAAGCACTGGTAAAAATCCAGGCACCTGAAATTATTTTTAAAAAATAGTTAGATCATTTATTTATAAATGAACATGTTTGTGTGTCAAGCAACGTTACTTGCAGTAGTGGATTTAAGGTTTTTTTAGATAGATCAGCTGTAGATGGGTAACTTTCTTTAAAGCCTAAAGCACTAACCTGTGCTTTGAGCTGCCTTTATAAGTCCTTTTTTTAAGGTGTCCCGTAGCCAAGGTTTAATCTGGAGATTTTCTTCTTCCACTGCTAGAGAGACAACCAAATTGGGAGCAGGTAGCTTCCATTTGTTGAGCATAACTTCGAATATAATTCCAGGATGAATGGTACTTGGGACCTTAATAAACTTCAACAAACAAAACAAAAAACCACGGAATGACAATGGGACTGCAGGATATAGTGGGTATGTTGTTCATGGTGAATGCAGAGAGAAATTCATCATCAACTTGGCTATTTAAGAAAAATTTATTTGAGCAAGACCTGACAGAGAACTAAATACCGGCATGAATATAGTAGGCTTCTGTATAATTGTCATCCCACTAGTTGGGTCACTTGCACAGGTTAATTCTGTGTTGCAGACTGACATACTGTTCTCTCCTTTAATCCTGCTATTCCTCTTGAACTGTCTTCAGTTCCATGGCAGTCCAGCAAAGCCAACAAATTTCTTAGGTGTTTCTTGCTTCTGCACTAGCTGAAATATTTACCTGATTTCATGTCTGGTTTTCAAGAACATATCACATGAATCTATCACTTCTTCCTGTTCTGCATATATGTTGGCTTTGGGCTTAAGATTTTATGATGAAGCAAAATCTTAAGGCAGATTTCTGATCCTAGAAATTCCTTCTGCTCTAGCAGTAGTTTATGCACAGGACTAGTGAAGAGGTGGGTCTGTCCATGTACATCCTTCTCTGCATATTAGCAGAACAGAGAGTGCTTTAAGGAGAGTCTTGAAAAGGCTCCAAAGTACGTTTGAAATGTTGAAATCCATAGCGATTAATTTTTGGCAGAAAGAGGTTAAAACAGGGAGATGATGCAAAATGAAGGAAGCTGGGCACATGATTGAGGTTTTTTTTTTTTTTTTTTTAAAGGAAAAAGTGATCAAGTGTACCTGTGGCATGCCAGTGTAAGTCAAGTGATTGATTTCTGTATATTAATAGGCCTTATTTTATATCACATTCATGTTCAGGAAGGTATGGTCTCTCCTTTGAGTACAATGTGCTGCCTCACACTGTGGCACATGGACCCTCACTATTACAGTTTACATATTTAATTCAAAGAAATAACAGCTGAACAACAGCAATAGTGTGAAAGACTTAAAACTCCTCAGTGCTGTACCTTCCCACGTTTCTTCCCAGAAGCTGTGAAGTCTATTTCTCCTGTACAATATGGCAGTTCTCTTTTGAAAGCTTCCTCTTTGTCACTGCTCCAGAGCTTGGTTTCCGTTTCCTCCATTGAATTCGCAAGGTGATCACCAGTAGACCAAGGTGATGACTGAGATGACAGAAAAGTGGAAAATGAGAAGCTGTGTAAACTGGAAAGGACACAAAATCCATTAATTTACAGCTAGCTGAGTTTTTAATCAAATATTTTACTCCCTTACTTCTATGCTTCTAAGGTTCAGCTATAATTGGAAGTGTTTGTAGCAAATGTTGAACATTATATACAGGAGGAGGCAGATTCCACACCAAAGTGATGTAATTTAAGTTATAAAAAGGCACGAAGGAGTAAGGCACTCTCAACTCTGATTTAGCAGTCAGCTGAGTTGCAGGATGTAAGATCCTGCAATCTGTCCAAAGTCATGTGGTGAGTCTCGAAGCCCAAGGGTGACCTGAATTCTACAAGAAAAAGGAGCCTTGGCCCCAAACTATTGCAAGCAGGAGTAGACCTTTGTCAGTGAGTGTCTGAGTCATGGTTTTGTGATGTCATTATGCATCATGCTACTATGACTTATGTTATCCAACGTGAACGCTAAATAACTGACTGATGACATTGTATTTGTCTGAAGATACTTTCGGAGAGGTTTACTTTCTGTTTGCTGTGGGAACAGGCTATTTCCTCCTCAGCCAAGTATTTAAGTCCAGGCTGTACTTGACGAGAACACACAGTTCAAAAAGGCAGGTGGTTTTCTCTATGCATGGCTATGGGAATGATGGTGAGTAATCTATCTGAGAGCAAAGGTCATATAGCAAGAATTGTTCTTCTACATTACATGAGACACTGAAAAGGTCTGCTTGCTTTTCCTACGTTCAAGTTTGACTGAACTGATATAATCATGATTTGAAAAGCACAGATTTCAACTTGTATGCCTTATTTTGTTTCTTTTCAAAACAAAAGCAATGAAATAGCTCTCTCCCCTCTGCCTTCATCTGCATGTTTAAGTACACATTCAGTCCTTTAAAAACATCCTTGTGATAGTAAGCCAGCAAGGTTAATCAACCCTGTGTCAGTCTCCATTTCATAGTCCAAGAGATCTTAGAAGTGGGTCAAACTAGCAAGTCTCTTACGGGTCCATGAGGATGCTCCAGTAGAGGGAGCAAGCGCTCCAGCTATTCCCTTGGGCTGGCAAGTCTCTCGGGAGCCTGTATCCTGGCTGCTTCACCACTGCTGCCTCTATTTTATTCTCTTTTATGTTTTCTGCGAAAACGTTGTTTGGAGTTGCCCTTTTCTCTGATCTGCCTCTGAAAAGTGGTTATGGACCCTCTCATGATTTGTTTCCCCTACAGCTATTCCACATCTCTGTATCCACCTCCCAAACTGCTCTCAGAGATCACTGCTTTCTCGTTCTTCTCTCTGCCTGCATGCTAGTCACTTCTGGAGAGAATTAACAGTTTATTCTGAACAGTAGGATGTCATAATAGTCCAGTTAAGAGTCTTACCTAAAAGAACTCCTTTTGGATTATCAATAGTGGTAGTCACAGCAAAGCCCACTGTTTTGTTTCAGTCCACTTTTACACTAGAGATACAGTTTTATCTCCTAGGAGCACAGAAGACAGCATTCTGGAAAAAAAATAGTTAATACAGAGCCATAATAACACATTTTTACTATTCTGAAGTACAGAAATCACTTCCTGGAGCTTGCTGACAGAACAAAGGATTTGATTAGAAAAAAGTATTCAGGGCCAAATTACCAAGGTACATTTAGTCACCATTCATCACTGTCCTAGATAGTACACAATTATTTTATCTACACACAAGTAATGAACTTGGAATAGACAGCAATTTACAAAGTAATCTGATAGTTAATTTGGCCTCATAGATAGGCCCCAAGTGGTTAATGTTAAGTCTAGTTCTAGATTCTAGCTTGCAAAATTTGATCATGTGTTTATCTGTGACTTTTCTTTTGGAATAAAGACACTGCACTGCTGAGATTTAAAAGGAATATTATTGCATTTAGATTTTTTTATTTCCAAAAAATAGCACGTTATTCGGTTTTCTGTTTAGGAATTCTGATTCTCAATGGTAGTGAACAACAGGGAAGGAGACAAAAAAAATAAGATACAGAAATAGAAGCTTTGTTCACAAGCTTTTATAAGACTGAAAAGTGAGGAAGGCAGCTGGTAACGGGCACCGAACAGGGCACTCACTGCACAGGGCACTATTTCTCTCCCTTCCCTTTTTTTTTTTTTTTTTTTTAATTGAGCAGTCTCAGAACCATGGCATTAGAGACTGAGAGCTTATTTTGGGGAAGTATTACTTAATCTTTCCATTTTGTTCTTATACCGCTTCTCCAGCATCCCTCCAGGCTGCTGTCTGTGATGGGATACAGAGCTAAATGGAATTTGTTATGATCTTCTACAGCTGTTATTGCGTTCATATTCCAAGCCAGGAATTCTTCCAGTATCGAGAGCAGAAAAGTGGTACTGACAGAATGGCAAAAGAAGTAAAAAATTACGCAGGATTCTGAATGGTGTCCATGCAAGAATACAGTGTAGCGCTATACGGAGCTGAGAATCTACAGTAGATGAGATCCTGGACTGTAGGCTTGGTTTTTGTGTGTGTTTTGTGTGGGGTTTTTGTTGGTTTTGTTTTTGGTGCGATTTGACAGTTTTTCTTGCTTTTTATTCCTTGGAATTCAAAAAACAGGTAGGAGATATCCTGTGACTTCCAGTATGACTGCAGTAATGTACAGGTGCTAGGGTTCCGTGTCAGTGCAACGTTCCACCCAATGGTGCTAATGGAGCAAGGAAATGTAGTTTTGGTATTTAAAGGGGTGGGGAAGAAGATTTTAAAGGCTTCTCTATAGATACTGTACAAGTGGAAAAAAAACAAAACCAGGAGTTCCTTATATTATTAATATTGCAAAATCACCAGATTCGTCTGCTGTGTAAGATTTGCAGATGTGGTTCTTAAGCACAAAGGCTGATCACACTGTATGTTACCTTACCTCCCTCTATAGCTGACTCAGCTGCTGCAGAGTAACCCCTTGCTGTTACGGGCAGAATTGCAGAACACTGCCTGGATCTGCTCAAGTGCTGCACATCACCTTACCACCCCTGCAGTGGAGCTTTGCCAGATACTGATCAGTCAGCACACAGACTCCGTTATGTCCCTAATATTTGAATATATTCAGAACATTATATAGTCAGCTCTGTCATTTCCTCCTGGATTGTGAAGTCTTCTGTTCTTAAAAAGCATGTGGACACCTCGCTCACTCCTCTAACAAGCAAAGTAAGCATGTATTAACAAACTGTGTAACACAATTAGGTTTTTGGAAGTGCCTTTCTCCTAGGTTTAATTCAGTCTTGTCCTTCTTGGTTCCAGATTTAATGTAAGTCTCTAGTGGTTTCGGGGGCTGTTGCTTTGAGACTTCAGGCTGTACTAGATTGCAAGTGTTGTCAGGTCACAGCAATTGGGTCAAATCTTTGTGGTCGCAGTCATGACATTCCACTGCAGTCAGCTTAACTTCGGTCAGCTTGCATCACTTTAACATCATGGAGTATTGTTTAATTGTAAGGGTCTGGAATAAGTCCATGCCTTGGGAAAGAATAGGCAGATAGACAGAAAGAGGAGCATGGTCTAAGCACTTCGTGGATGAGAGGAAAGGTAGGGAGGAAAGCAAAGAGGAGACAAAGGCTATAAAGACAGCTAGATGAAAAACAAATGGCTGACAACTATAACTTCATAATTTTCTCCCTTTCCACATACTATTTTCTATTAAACTTTTTAGAAACTTCCAACTTTTAAAAAATCCTAATGCTTAAAGTTTTTTCACATTTTTCTCCATTATCTGTGAGAATGCCATTGTAATAAATTTGATAAAAAGATTACTTAAAGGTGAACAATCAGAAATACTTAAAGGGTGGGAGGAAAAAAAAGCCACAAAAATCTTGCCTACTCCAATCTGTGCATTCATATTTTAAACTTTGTGTACATATGTATATATGGAACAATCTTACTTTAGTTCTGGTTCAGACTTAAGTACAGATTTTTGTATCTAGGCTGCTGCTATATATTTAAGTTTCTAGGTCAAATTCTGTCCTAGATGTTCCCATTGACTATAAATACAAACATCTATGGAAAGAATGTCCCTCTAATGATTACGTGATTGGAAATATAACCTAGAAAACTATTTCTAACTAGCAAAGCAAGTTAAGATAATTATGAGGAAAAGACTATCGCCAGTTCCACCTACACCTGGAAATGTGAGTCAATATAATTTACATTAGAGATGGCCTGATTAAATCAGTTCAGGTGTCAGCCGGTCTCATGAATCATTATTTCTTTAACCTCGTAAACAGGAGCAGTTAGAATTGTACCATTGTACAACCAGTGCTTGTGACGCTGGAGTTTGCAGGTCCTACTGCTGTTGAGTCCTTCATTTTGGAAGGTCCTAACTTCTTATTTGGGCATGCTAGATTTCTTGGCAGGGAGGTAAAACTTCAGGGGGACAGTTATGATGGATGTAGGGAAGGGATCCCTGCAGGGATTCTTTCCTGAAGGATTTATCAAGAAAAAGTGATGAGATCAGAACTACTGAGAAACATTTTGACACCTATGAACATCCTTTTCTGGACTGTTCTCCCTCCTGTCCCTGCTTTCCCACCCCTCCTCTGCCATGCCTTCTCTCCCCAGTCTCCTTTTCTCCTACAACTCCTGTTGCTGTTTCTCCCAGTTTTCCACAGGCTCTTTCCAGCTATTGTTGCTGCCCCTTAGCCCATGGTGAATGTGCAGCTCCTCTTCCTTGTGAGGCAACAAATGACTGATGGTTCACCTCCAGATGGGTGACAAGGATGAAACGGACACACATTCTTCCTTTAGACTTTAACCCAGGTTAGGCTGTGAAGAAGGAAGAGAGGTCAAATTTGAGCCTTTCAAACATATCTTGTGAAATTGGGCCCAGTCAAGGGATGGTGTGACCTCAATTATTGTCTTCAAGGGTAAATGGTTTGATTAAGAGAGTAGGCGTACTGTACTCATTAGCTCTCAGGACTTAGCAGTAGTAAGAATTCTCC